GGAAAGGCATCCTTATGCATCATAACCATGCACTTAATTTGTTTAAATAATACCCAGGAGCGGAGAAGAAATTTTCAAAGAATTAATGCATTTTCACTATATAATCAATAGAGCCCTGCCCTAACACCAGAACCCCTAACCCTGGGGCCATGGCTTTCACAATTCGGAAGAGGCCCACATTCTCATCATATCTATCTACTTAGTTTATCACCTTAACGCCCAGGAGCAGAGGAGAAGATTTTCAAAGAATTCATGCATTTTCACTACATAGTCGATAGAGCCCCACCCTAACACCAGAACCCTTACCCTGGGGCCATGAAATTCACAATTTTGGAAGAGGTACTCTTGCTCATCATAACTATTTTATTAAATATCCAGGAGCAGAGAAGAAGATTTTCAAAGAATTCATGCATTTTCACTATATAATCAATAGAGCCCCGCCCTAACACCAGAACCCCTGATCCTGGGGCCATGAAATTCACAATTTTTGAAAAGGCACTTTTGCTCATCATAACTATGTACTTAGTTACTTTATTTAATACCCAGGAGCAGAGAAGAAGATTTTCAAAGAATTAATGCTTTTTCACTATATAATCGATACAGCCCTGCCGTAACACCAGAACCCCTGACCCTGGGGCCATGAATTTCACAATTTGGGAAGAGGCACTCTTGCTCTTCATAACTATGTACTTAGTTACTTTATTTAATACCCAGGAGCAGAGAAGATTTTCAAAGAATTAATGCATTTTCACTATATGATCTATATAGCCCCACCCTGGGGGCAGAACCCCTGACCCTGGGGCCATGAATTTCACAATTTTGGAAGAGGCACTCTTGCTCATCATAACTATGTACTTTGTTACTTTATTTGATACCCAGGAGCAGAGAAGAAGATTTTCAAAGAAATAATGCACTTTTACTATATGATCTATATAGCCCCACCCTGGGGCCAGAACCCCTGACCCTGGGGCCATGAATTCACAATTTTGGTAGAGGGCTCAATGCTTATTACAATGATGCCAACAGTTTGACTGCTTGATGTCCAGGAGTAAAGAAGATTTTTAAAGATTGCATTATTTCTGGTGGTTTTAGCCCCACCCCTCAGGCCCCAGGGAGGCAGGACCATGAAATTCACAATTTTTGTTCCCCTTCACCCATAGATGCTATATGCCAAATTTGGTTGAAATTGGTTAAGCGGTTTCAGAGAAGAAGCTAAAAATGTTCAAATGTTAACACACGACGCACGACGCACGCCGATGGACGAGGACGGATAGCAATAGGTCACCTGAGTGACTCAGGTGACCTAAAAACGTAAAATGAACAATATAAAAACATCAGAACAACAACAACTACTGGACTACAGGTGCCTGGCTTGAGTATGTTGCAGGGTTAAACATGTTTGTAAGCGAACAACCCTCCCTTTTACATGAGGCAGGAAAAACTGAAGAGGGATTAATATACGTTGTAATAACGTGTTACCTAATCTATGATAAATAAATAAGTTTAAAATTTATAACCTGAATCAGTGATATAACAATAACAACAATAAAACAAAACATATGTTGTTTTTCACCCATTTTGATTTCTTTCCATGTACTGTATATATTCTTTAAACATTCATCATAATATATTTTTGTTTTGCAGTATGGACCAAGAGAACTTTGAAATCGACTGGATAGACCAAGAAATTTTTGGGATAGACCATGAGGAAGAAGTTGGGGAAGTTAGGATCAAGTTTATCTGTAAAGTCTGTAGAAGACAATATTTACAACAAACATCCATACTAGTGTAGGAGTAGCTTCTGTCACTCAAAGTAATGAATTTGCTTGTTAGCAGTGTGCAAAAACTTTCAGAAGCGATTACTAGTACCTTTTAAACAGCACATGCAGAGGACCCATGCAGCGAATAAAAAAAGAACACTTAATTGTATGCAGATAGCCTTTATTACGAAATTAGATACAATACCGCTTATCTATTATATTATTTGTTATTTTTAAATAATTTATTTTTGGCTGTAACGCGTCATTTGCTTGGATGAAAAAAAGTTTATATCGTATAACTTGAGCAACCTACGTCATGATGACTAAAGTCATACACGTTTCAATCCGCTTGACGTTACATTTAAAACCTTTATTATTTGAAGGCATTTTTAAAGGAATTAATGATGGAAAATTTAATTACAAGGAATTAATTTATTAGCTACCCAAGCAATACTGGTATAACCTGGGTTGGAACCGCTTCGTGGTTTATAAAGCGTAAACTGCCCCAATCTAGGTTATACAGTATAACTTTGGTAGCTATTAAATTCATTTCTTAATTTCTTAATTGATGCTCGAAAAAGTTGTTACAAATAAATATAAATAAACTTTATCAATGGAGTTTTCCCCTCCAAATGTCTTTCAAATCAATCATTTCCATTCCCAAACGTTTTGTTGGCAGAATTTTAAATTCATCTTTGCAATAGCATTGTCTTACTGCCAAGGCTGCTCGGGTTGGAGCCAAAGGACCAAATATTTCAAATTTCTGTTTCCTTCGTTTTGGGGAACATTCTGATCTGTCAAACTCATGCTCCCTACAATGAAATGAATGTTTAGAGTTACTAAATACATGAGCTAGTATGAGAGTATTGTGTATTGACAAATTGAAAATACATGTAGTACAAACTTAATGGCATCGAAAAAATCACTTTAACAGAGAGCCGAGTATTAAATGGTTGACATTGCCATTACAGATCTCATACAAATTTCTTAGGAAATATACTGAACATTTGGAAGTGAAGTACAGGTAAGTAAAAACCCTTTAAAAGTATTTGTCAAGAGGAGTATTTAAATTTAATAGAAAAAAGGTAATGCAATATCATAAAGGAAGTGGTACATGTACAACTTTCAGGTGATTAACCATGGTAACACTCTTTTTAAGCTCACCTGAGCTGAAAGCTCAAGTAAGCTTTTCTGATCACATTTTGTCCGTCGTCCGTCTGTAAACTTTTCACATTTTCGACTTCTTCTCCAGAACCACTGGGCCAATTTCAACCAAACTTGCCAAAAAGCATCCTTAGGTAAAAAGGGTTCAGGTTTGTTCAAATGAAGGACCACGTCCTCTTTCAAGGGGAGATAAATAAGAATTAGTGAAAATTTGGTGGTATCTTCTAAAAATCTTCTTCTCAAGAACCATTGGGCTGAAAAAGTTGATACTTATGTGAAACCTTCATTACATAGTGTAGATTCAAGTTTGTTCAAATCATGACCCCCTGGGGTAGGTGGGGCCACAATGAGGGATCAAAGTTTTACATCGGAATATGTAGGAAAAATCTTTAAAAATCCTCTTCTCAAGAACAACAAAGCATTGATTAGTCATATTGATATGAAATCATCCTCAGGTGGTGAAAATTCAAGTTTGTTCAAATCATGACCCCCGGAGGTAGGGTGGGCCACAATGAGGGATCAAAGTTTTACATAGGAATATATGGGGAAAAATCTTGAAAAATCTTCTTCTCAGAAACATCAAAGACACAATTAGTCATATTGATATTGAATCATCCTCGGGTAGTGAAGATTCAAGTTTGTTCAAGGCTTCCTCCAGTAGTAGGGTGGGACCATGATGGGGGATCAAAGTTTTACAAAAGAACATATTTAGGAAATATCTTTAAAAATCTTATTCTCAAGAACAACAAACCATGATTAGTCATATTGATATGGAAGCATCATCAGGTAGTGTAGATTCAAGTATGTTCAAATCATGACCCCCCTCCCCCCGGGTATGGTGGCAGACATCTTTAAAATTCCGTTTTCAAGAACAGCAAAGCCATGATTAGTTATATGAAAAAAGAAGCATCCTCAGAAAGTTTAGATTCAGTTTCATTCAAAACATTGCACCTGGGGGTAGGATATGTCTAGAACAGGCGATCAAAGCTTTACATATGAATATATAGGAGAAGAAATCTGCTGACGAGGAACAGCAGGACCATATTGACTCAGGTGAGCGTTGTGGCCCATGAACCTCTTGTTGTACCGTAAGAATGACTGAAATTAAGCATACTTCGTTTTAACAGCAAAATAACATCGTATCATAACATTATCTTTAAGATTCTTCGTAATATGGGTCTTTTTGTCCTGAAATTAGACCAGGCGAAAAGTGCATGCAAAAATAATCTCCATTTCGTAGACATGACGCCACCCCATGAAACGCAGAAAACGCAGCCCGAATGTCATATCGAGTTTGAAGCCTAAATGACTTAATTACTAAAATATATTGATTTACAATGTACTAATGAAGCCAATTCTATTGCAATACTTCATAATCTTTTAACGTATTATGAAAGAAACCTCCAGAGGGTCAATTTTGATATAGAATTTTACGTAAAGTCGCAAACTTTGATACCCCGAAAAGTGAGGAGGAGTGTTTGAGAAAACGAAGCACTTGTATGTGCCGTTATTAACTTTTTAGGGTTACCTGGTAGTTGCTCCCTTCCGTAAAATATAATTTTCTGAACTAAAAAGATTTTTAAACAAATGAAAAATTTTATGTTTACTCACCTAATTAGTCTTTTCTCCGCTTCGGGGGCCGCCACCCGATGTCACACATGCCCGTCAACCCGAATTTAGCGTTCTAACCGGTGATTCATAACACTTCAAACACTGACATTGATAAAAAGTTTCAGAGCAAATTGCTTCTGCAAACCTTGAACACCTGCATACAACCACGTACACAAAGCTGCATGGGGTTTTATTTCTTTACAAAAATTAACAAATAGATTAACACCCAAAATATCAACAAAATATTAGTCTTTAAAAAATCTTAAGTTTCTCTATTGTTAAAGAGATCACGTGACGGAAAAAGGGGAAATTGACGAAAGTAGAATTTTTGCATGACACATGCAAATTCTGTTCAATTCTTATATATATAAGATATTAGGTTTCAGAAAATTACAGGATTCAGAACCTAAAAAATCTACTTTTAAAGAGAAAAATAAAAGTAAAAATAATTTTTGTTTGCCCCAACACAAAAATATTGTTTCACTTCTTCCTCTTTATTGTACGCATGCGCAGAAAAGTTCAAGAATTTACGATGGTGTCAATTCCATAGATATAAATGTTGGGTGGCCGAGGATTTTGATGCAATCCTCAATAATGATGATCAGAACTTATTCCTCAATTTTTCTTGCTCCAATTCAATGCTGTTTATACAAGTTTCATTGCAAAGAATAAACGTCGCGTGACCTTGACATTGTTGACATTGACGATAACAACTAAGCGATAGATACAACCTTTGCTTTTCCGGCACTTACGTTTTGCAGTTCTTTTCTTGCTTTATAGTGCAGTTGAGTAGTAAAAACTTCGTTTTTTCATATTTCACATAAATCTTTTGTTTTATGATACAATTATCTTAAATGAAACACATGATTTTGACTCATTATGTAACTTTAATTCTTTCCTCTTTTGTTTGCCGTATTGACCAGGCGAGCATAAATGCCCTGTATGGACATTAACTCTCCATGACGACCCTGCTCAGCCACTTCGCCATATTTGATGACACAGATTTTGTCGGCGTTCTGGATCGTGGAAAGTCGGTGAGCTATGACGATACACGTTCTCCCCGCTCGTGCCTTGTCAAGAGCTTCTTGGACGATCTAGAAATTAAAGTATGTAAAACTACAATCAATAAATCTTCATTAAAACAAAAATTCGTAGTTCAGGTGTTGAGTGATGAAAACTTATAAAAGCTTTCAGACATGATGGTTCCCGGCATTAACAACGTATAACAGGAAGGGGTTGAAAAATTCTTTAAATAACGACAACCAGTATTGTCAGTCCGTATGTGCTCAGTGATATGTGTAGAACTTTAAAAATTGAACATACCTGGTAAAACGTAATCATTAACAACAGTATTGCATTAGCAATACTAGTCCCCTACCCGCAAGTGTAATCTGGTTCCCGTTAAAAATTGAAAATGCCATAATTCCGTCAAAAATAATTAAAGCGGAACGAAATGTAAACTTGATTTTTAACTAATCAAGGTAAATTGACATACCGAAAATCAGCCCAATATCTGCAAGTGTTCAGAAAAAAAAGTGCGGAAAACCCTTAAAAATTGAAAAGGTCGTAATTCGGTCAAAATCAATGAAGCGGAAAAAATGTAAATTTGATCTGTACCTCATCAAGATACGCTCATATATATACCAAAAATCAGCTCATTATCTGCAAGTGTTTAGGAAAAAAGTGCGGAAAACCAAGTGGGACAGACTGACAGAGGGACAGACGGACGGACAGCTAGACAGACGGACGGACAGACGCAGAGGAAACCTATAGTCCCCTCAGGTTTCAACGGTAGGGGATTAATTAATTTTGATACTGCTGATGTAAAAGGTAATGAATTGATGGACAGTGAAGGGATATCTAAACAGAGCTTTTACCTTTTCACTTTCTGTATCTAGGGCAGAAGTGGCTTCATCCAACAGAAGAATCTTGGGGTTTCTGACCAGCCCACGGGCAATAGCCACTCGCTGCTTCTGTCCACCCGAGAGTTGTGTACCCTTGTCACCACAAAGTGTTTCATAGCCCTATAAAGTATGGAATTTCATGCAAACAAATGCCAAACAAAATAAAATTTGACTGGTAAGGAGCTAATCAAATGTATACAGTCATTGTATATATACAGATATATACAGTAATGTATACAGTGTATATGTATACAGTCACATACACAGTAAATTACTTCTGCAAGTTACTTGGATTTTCAAGTTTAAATCGTCATAAATTTTATCAAACTGGTTTTATTACTCCCCTACAGGTGAAACCGGAGGAGACTATAGGTTTCCTCTAAGTCTGTCCTCTGTCTGTCTAGTTGTCCCTCTGTCTGTCTGTCAGTCTGTCCCACTTGGTTTTCCGCACTTTTTTCTAAACGCTTGCAGATATTGAACTGATTTTTAGTATGTGAGTGTATCTTGATGAGTTACAGAACAAGTTTGCATTTCGTTCCGCTTAAATGATTTTTGACGGAATTACGACCTTTACAATTTTTCAGGGTTTTCCGCAATCATGGCATTTTCAATTTTAACGGGAACCAGATTACACTTGCCGTTAGGGGACTAGTATTGCTAATGCAATACTCTCAGAATGCTTGTTTAAATAAGCATGTTATTCTTACTGATAAATTTCCTAATTACAGTTTCCTTTTTTTTTAACAACATGTATATAACACTAATTTTCTTTATTTCCTTACATTGGGCAGAGACTTGATAAACTCGTGAATATTTGCATTTCGAGCAGCCTCAATGATCTCTGCCATTGGGACCTCTCTGATGTTATCCCCGTATGCGATGTTTTCTGCGATACTGCAGTTAAACAATACTGGTTCCTGGGACACGATTCCGATCTGACGACGCAGCCACTGGACGTTAAGATCTTTCAAATTATTCCTATCCAGTAACTACAATAAACTTTCATAAATCTATTTTAAATAAAAATCCAGTCATCTGAATGCTTAAAAACTGTGTTGAGTATATGACACTGAGTTAAATCGCTGCATTTAACATTTTTTATGATCAAGAAGTTAGACTTGCGCCATTCACTGTCTGCCAATTCACCCAAAAATCAAAACTATTTGTGAAATTATCCTTACTAATGTAATACTGAAATAATACAACACAGTAATAACTACTGACCACATCACCAGTCTCAGGATCATAAAATCTCTCTATCAGCTGCATTGTGGTACTCTTGCCACACCCGGAGGCACCCACCAATGCCAAAGTCTCCCCAGGGGTCACCTCTAAATTCAAACCTCGCAGGACCTCCACATCCGGGCGAGTTGGGTAGCGGAAATGAATATTTCTGAATGAAACTGCACTAGTGAAACTCTCCTGTAAAAATGAAAATTAAAAATTTATTGAAAGGTGGACCAGACCAATTAAAACTATAAATAGTTATCAGCTTTTGTTTGGGATTTTGCTGTTGTTGTTGTTTGTTTGTTTGTTTGTTTTAAAGAAGCGTAAAATTCATAATTTGCAAGCACTAGTACCTTCTAGAAAGAAGTATGAATTTCAAAATATAATTATAGACTATCTAAAAAAAAAGATAAAATATTTTAATACTTTGGTATTTGAGCCATAGCCTATAGACTCTGGTAAGGAAAATAGATGAATGATTAAATACATCCCAATTCTTGCAAAAAATGAATCTGAAAATTTCCTACATCTTTGATGCCTTCCTCAGAGTACGGATCAATCTTTGGCTCTCTGTCTAGTAGCTTGAAGATTAATGCAGCAGATTTCTTGGCCTTTCCAACATCAGGTGCAAAAGCACTCGTCTCACCTATGGCCATTGCACCAAACACAATAGCACTGAATACTCTGTGAAACAGAACATAAAAAGCTTCTCAATAAGTTATTATTCCCACTCTTACATAAGTTTTTGTCATTTTTTTTTCTTTTTAAGTCTATTAATCGTTGTCATGGTAAAGACCGATCACAAAATCAGGTGATCACTGAAATGCAAATTTCAATTTTTTTTTTTCAAATTCACATGAAAATAAATGAAACCATAGTACTTATAAGATGTATAAGTACTGAAAAAAAACTACCCCGGACAATTAAGAAATACTATGGAAATGGAAAGTTTATAATTTCTCTATGTCTTTCAAATCTGATGAAGTACAACCTTGACTTGGCCCAGCATATATATTTAACAATGAACTTCAGCCTGATCAAATGTGTTGTGTCAATCATTTAATCCAAAAGTTATGGCCAAGGTTCAAGATAGACACTATTGGATGAATTATTTCAAAAAAGAAACCACCCCTCCAAATCCGCAATCTTTCAATTTTATACACTACTTTTCTCGGCGTGTAAGACTTAGACAAAATAAAATCATTCAAAATAAATTATGATAACCTACTTGAACACATCGGTGAATGTCATTTCATTTTTCTCAATCATGTAAGCACCAAAATAGAAGGCAGTGGCATCGGCGAAGAATATGACAGCAGTGGAGGCCGCGAAGGCGATCCCTGTTAGGTGGTACTTTTTGAGGGTGGATCTAAAGGGAGTGTCCAGCTGTGATTTGTACCTCTCTACCATCAAATCCTCCTGACACAGACTGGCTACCGTACGGATGTTTTCTATGGCCTCTGTAGCTGTTTTGCCAGACTCTTCCAAAGCCTCCTTATTTTTACCTGTAATAAATAACAGATACATGCAGTCAAACCTCGCCATCCACAAAATTGATCAGAGCTATAGAAAAAAAAACTTTGAGATGTGTAAGATTTTTAGATACTGAGGTTAAACTACATAGAGAACAAGAGGCCCATTGGCCAGAATTCTCACTTAAGCCATCTTTGTCCTGCTATTCTTCAAAAGATTTTTCAAAGAAATCCAGGAAAAATTTTGACTTCAGAATATGGCGGCTGGCCTCATCCTAGCCTCAGTGGGTCATGGTTTTACCAAACCTGAATCAACAATACACAGGGATTCTGAATTTCTGTGTAACAAACATGGCCTTCCAGTTCTGGACAAGATTTTCTGCTAAACTTTCCCCTATATTCCTTTATTAGGTAAAATTTGATCCCCTATTTTAAACCCACATAATTCCAGTTACCATAATTTGAACAAACTTGAATCACAATATCTTAACTTGCACTATCTGAGAATGTTTGCATATAAATATGACTATCCATGACCTGCTGTTTGTGATAAGAAGATTTTTACTGATTTTTTTTCTTCTAATATATTCCTATTTAAAAACTTTGATCCCCTATTGTGGCCCACCCTACCCCCAGGGGCCATTATCTGAACAAACTTAAATTTGCACTACCTGAGGTGGCTTGCATATTAATATAACTAATAATGGTCCTGTTGTTCTAAAGAAAAAGTTTTTAAAGCTTGTTTTCCATATATTCATATATTAAACTTGATCCCCTATTGTGGCCGAATCTTACCCCAGGGGCCATGATTCGAACAAACTTGAATCTACACTATGTCAGGTATCTTCTCATAAGTTTCATTTTTTTTCTGGTTCAGTGCTTCTTCATGAGATTTTAATAAAACTCCACCCTGTATTCGCCTTTTCTTGATAATCCTCCCTTTGTAGAGGGTATGGCTCTTGTTTGAATAAATTAGAATCCCCCTTCACCAACGATACTTTGTGCTTAGTTTGATCAGAATTGCCCATTGGTTCAGAAGAAGATAATCAAAATGTGAGAAGTTTACAAAGACGAATACAACACCAACAGCAATGACGACAGACAACACACAAAGTCTTACATGAGAAACTCACTTGAGCCTTCACATCAAGTGAGCTAAAATGTGATTAGGACTTTCAACTTACTTTGACACATCCATGGTATTTGACATAACCAAAGCTCAATTGTATTAGATAACTAAGGTCTTATTCAAATGGACATTATTTCAAAGCTTCTAACTCTATTTGGATACCATTCATCTTCATCAAAGTTTTGTCTACATTCAGAGTTCTGTCCAAGGATCAATGTACTAAGCTTACACAAGGTATCATATTCTGTAAATATTTTTAAATTTGAAGAGCGTATACCTGAGACTCCCTCAAGAAGTTTCATCTGAAGAACACCAGCTATTCCAATGATTGGGATAAATGCTAGGATGACTAGAGTTAACTGCCAGCCATACACAAAACCAATAATGACACCAGTTCCTATGTTGGCAAAGTTCTGTAACATAATTCCCAGCTGTGCCCCTGATGCCTGTATTATAGCATAGAAGGTTTAGATATTATATAAGCTAGCTGACAGGTTCTGAATAATTTTAACTGTTTTGTACTTCAGGAGTTCAACTGGCTGCTTCTACCATTTGTTATCCGCCTAGATTTATTTTATTTGTATAAAACTTTTATTATAAAAAATCACTTTTGAGATTTTGGTTCAGATAAGGCAGAAGCTTAGGCATTTATGTAACAGATTACTTTGCATCAGTTATCAAAAGAGGGGACTTCCCCTGTCCTCAATACTGTTTATATGTAAATAATTGTCCATTTTTATTTTTTTTGCCCACGTTCAGAGATAGAGTTATCTCTCTTTAAATACAACTGTCTGGACGAATTTACACAGGTTGAAATTGTTGGAAGTTTGATGGGGCAAAATCAACACTGTCCTCTTTACCCACCCCCTGGACTTCCGCAGCCTCTGTGGCTAGCCTGGTGGTCAGGGCTCCGGTGGAATTTTTCTGATCATCAAAGTACTCTATATCCTGTCTCAGTAATGCACGGAAACACGATTGTCTCAGTCTCATAGTAAGATTCTCTCCAGACACACTGAAGCTGAATCCCTGTAAAGGAAATAATTCGTTAGAAACAACAACAGTAATGGGAAGTAACTCTGTATCCCCCTCTTTTCACTCAAATAGCCAAGAAACTACTAGCAACTACTAGTAACTTCTCATTCAGATGCCCAAGTATTTAATACCCCTTTTTACACAGTGTATGTAGATGTTTTGTTTGTTTGTATGTTGTTTAACGTCCCTCTCGAGAATTTTTCACTCATATGGAGACGCCACCACTTGCCGGTGGAGAGCTGCACATTTTGTCCTATACTCGGCACTTACGGCCATTGAGCAGTGAGGCATCTTTTTCGTGCCAGCACCTACTGCGACACGGGACCTCGGTTTATACGGTCTCATCCGAAGGACCGGTCTCAACGTCCCACAGTGGGATTCGAACCCGGTATGTAGATGTAGCAGATCAGGTAGTCAAAAAATCAATTAAAGCAAAAAATTGAACAAAAGGTGTTACTGAGTAAACTCTAAGATTTTTATAAGATAGCAAGTGTCTATTGATATACAATTTCTTTAGGCTGTGGTCTATGATCTATGTTTTAATTAAATCTATTTATAAAGGCAGCTTACCTGAACAGTGTTTTGTATCCTGACTTGTGTGTGTTTAATCAACTATCCTGAACAATGTGCATACAGTAAAACACGCTTACAGCGAACATGGTTATAATGAAATAACGTTTACAGTGAAGTGATTTTCATTCCCTGTGAGAGGTATAAAGTATATTGTGAACCTAACGGATATGAGGAATTATGCTTACAGCGAATCAAAATCATCCGTCCTTGACACTTCCATGTAAGCGTGTTTTACTGTATAATCAACTAACTTGAGCAAAATATGTAAATTCTATCCCTTAGAAGAGATATTGGAACCAAACGAAAATATCTACAGACCAGTAGCCTACTGAAAATGTGCTTTTTTACTAAATATGGTTGGTAACTTGAATGTATGTAATTGTAAACGCAAACTACTCTCAAAAACAAGTTATATGTAGGCTTCCTAAATGATTTATAAGCTACCCGGAACAAGTTTAAGATACTTACATGAACAAGCTGTGTAAGCTATTGCAAAGCTATATAAGCTACTACATGTACATGTACATGTATCTTGAAGAAGATACAGTATGTAGGCTAAGTATGTGAAAAAGCTGTATAAATTACTATCTTTAACAACAAGACCGTAGGCAACCAATGTATACAATGTGTATATTAATCAACTTTCTTGAACAACATATCTAGGCTACTACTAATGTAAATAAGGTGTATAAGCTACCATCTTGAACACAATATGTAGGTTACTAATGTGAACAAGCTGTATGAGCTATACTGTCTTGAATAAGATATGTAGGCCACCAATGTGAATAAGCTGTATACTGTAAATAACCAAATATTCGTGAGATCCTGTTTCGCAATTTTCATTTGGTATTTATAAGCCAGCCATAATTTTCATGAAATTTGATTTTTGTTCTATATAATCTTTAATTATACAAATAAACGTGAGAAATAAATTTTTGCTAGCAGGTGGGCTCATCGTATTATGCAAAAATAAAGTTCTCGCAAATTAAAAGTGATTTATAGTAAGCTACTAACTTGAACAAGATATGTAAGCTATTACTGTGAACAAGGTATTTAAGCTACTATCTTGAACATAGTATGTAAGGTACTTTATATTAACAAAAACTACAATCTGGAATAAGATATGTAGGCAATTAATATTAATAAGGTGTATAAGCTATAATCATGAACAAAGAATACCAGATTTAAACATGAGCGATGTGTAAGAAATTATAAGCTACTTAAAGAATGTGCAACATGTATAATTTAATTTTCTTATTATGCTTTAAGGCGATAAACATAAAAAAAATATGAAAAGAAAAGAGTAATATCCTGTCCGCCAAGAGTTATACACTACTAACCTGAAGAAGGTATGTGAGAAAGCTGGCAGCCCCCACCCCGACCAACAGCAATGTCCACATCAACACTTTATCTACTTGTTCACTGTTGCTAGAGATAGCAAAGGTCTGAAAAAAAATTCTAAGTTTCACGTTTCTTTGCTATCATTACATCTTTGCTTTTATGCAATACTTCTTGAGGAACACTTGTTTAACACCAATGGAGAAAAAATATATTCAAGGACACAAATAACTGGTTCCAAAGGTTGTCAGACCCGACAGGTGACAATGGGGATAAGCTTCCATTCTCTATAAAATGCTCCTTATGGCATGCATCGTTAATAGCCTATGACAACTAAGTCCAGATCCTAGCCTGCTCGTGTGGCTTGCATCAAGCCCGGCGGAACTGCTTCTGCTGATAGAAGGGGTGAAGGTGGGTTACCTGGTGCCTGAAAACCAGTGCTTTGGGTAGATGGGACTCATCAGTCTGGGAGGACAGCTCATATAAGAGAAGGAAAACTCTGATGCCAAATCTCCGCTGCCTTGAGGCCATACCCACTAATGTGAAAGGCTAGGTGAAGGCAATCACTAATATAAAACCAAATGGGCGGACTGTGCTCAATATCCATGATGGAAAGCAGTCTAAGAAGGTTACTCCGAAATCACTTCACCTTTCCTCGAGGTTATTAGAGTTACCTCTGGACAACAACCCTATCTACAAAAAACCAAATTACAGAAGCATCAATGACAAACCAAATCCAACATAACTTGGGCCAGATATGGCCTACTTCAAGAAGAACTACGATGCTGTGCAATGAAAGCCGAAAGGATGCTGCAGGACTGACTCCCTTTCTGACACCCAAGAAAACTATTAGACCTGCTACTTGGAACATCAGAACAATGCATGAAACAGAAAGAACAGCATAGAAAGCACAGGAGATGAAGCACAACATTTGTCTCCTAGGACTGAGCGAGACGAGATGGTTACAGATAGGACAGTTGAGGTTGACCACCGGAGAGACACCGTTATATTCAGGACTCAGGACGGAGGGAGTCCCCTACACCGAAGATGTAGTCCTGATGCTATCTCTGGAGGCACGACGCGCTCTTATTGGATGGGAACCTGTCAACTCCCCGATAATAACAGCTAGGAGCAACACAAAGGAAACAAGATCAAATTGAAGATAATCCAGTTTATGCCCCAATATTGACACTGACGACGAAAAGAAAGACGTCTTTTACTAGCAACTACAACAGTCTTGGATAAAGCAGGGAAGAAAGATATGACAATACTTATGGGCGACTTTAATGCACAGATCGGAGCTGTCAACACTTGCTACAATAAAGTCATGGGCACATAAGGACTGGGCTACATGAATGAGAATGCAAGAGATTTGCAGAATATGCTCCCCTAACTAGCTTGTAATAGGAGGAAGCATCTTCTCTCATAGACGGATTCACAAGGCCATATGGAGATCCCCTGACTATGTTACAGAGAATCAGATCAGCCATATATGCATCAACAAGAAATTTCGAACAGCATGGAAAAATGTCAGGGTGATGAGAGGAGCAGACATTTCAACAGACCACCGTCTTGTGATGAAGACAGCATTCCACTTCAGTCTGTCCAACAGATTCGAGGTGCAACAAGAAGAGCCAGAAAACAATGATACCAACATCGAGCCCCAATGGTAGCACATCAAGGAAATGTGGCGAGACACATGTGAAGAAGTCCTCAGCAAAAGAAAGGCTCAAAACGAAGAGTGGATCTCTGTTGTTACCAAGAGGAAAGTGGATGTGAGGAAGGAAAAGAAAGCGGCACTGAACTGAAGCCGGACAAGAGCAGCAAAGGCAAAAGCTCGAGAGGACTACACAGCCACGGATAAGGAAGTTAAGAAAAGCACCAGGAAAGATAAACAACATCACATTGACAACCTGGATAAACAAGCTGAAGAAGCAGCGGGACAAGGAATCTTGAGTGAACTGTGTATTATCACAAAGAGGCTCTCCAACAAGTTCCAGCAGATACACAAGCCATTAAAGGACAAGAGCGGGAACCCTCTCACAACAACACAAGAACAATTTTATAGATGGGTAGAACTCTCTTTGGAGAGCTATTACATAGAACAATACCAGAAATACCTCCGGACATATAACCAGCCGATACAGACCTCCCGATCGACTGCGACAAGCCAACAAAGACGGAGATCAGGTGAGCAATTACAACACTTAAGAAGAGAAAAGCGGTAGCAGAAGCCACCAAAGCTGATACAGCAACAACTGTTAACATCTTGCGCGACCTCCTCAAAAAGATCTTGGAGGAAGAGAACATTCCGGAGGAATGGAAAGGAAAGGAAGAATCTTATTAAGCTGCGCGCCAGAGAAGGGAGATCTGAGGGACTGTAGTAACTACCAGGGAATTATATGCTCCTGTCAATGCCTGACAAATTCCTCAACAGGATCCTTCACAAGAGTATAAAAGGGGCAATGGAACCAGAGCTCCGTGTGCTGACCTGATAGCCAGTCTTCTCATCATCATTGAACAATCACTCAGGTGGAAGTCCCTCTTCCATATCAACTTCATCGACTACTAGAAAGCATTTGACAGCGTGGACCGAGAGACACTGTGGAAGATACTGAGACACTATGGAGCATCCGAGAAGCTCGTCTCCTTAATTCGTAAGATCGACCAAGGCATGTCATGCAGGGTTGCTCATGCTGGCCAGATTTCCGACGGTTTTGAGGTCAAGATAGCAGTTCGACAAGGATGTTTGCTGTCACAATTTCTCTTCTTTTTGGTTATAGACTGGATAATGAGGAGTACCACATCAGGCTGGAACAATAGTATACAGTGGACGCTCCTGACGCAACTCGACGATCTCGACTTTGCCGATGACCTGGCTCTCCTTTCGCACAACCACAGTCAGATGCAAGACAAAACAACTCTCCTTGCAACAACATAAGCAGGAACGGAACTAAAGATCAACTTGAAGAAAACAGAATTGATGAAGATCAACACCATTGTCCAATTACCGGTCACAGTTGGTGGTGAGTCGATCAGAGAAGTTGAGTCCTTCATCTATAAGGGGAGTATGGTGGACAGACAGGGTGGCACGGATCTTGATATCAAGTCAAGAATCGGCAAGGCAAGAGCTACGTTTACCATGCTAAAGAACATCTGGGCCTCAAAGAACATCCACATTGCTACCAAATTGGGGATTCTCTACTCCAATGTTAAGTCCGTCTTACTGTATGGAGCAGAGACAATGAGAACAACCAAAACAACCCTGCAAAAGATCCAGAGATTTTAAAACACCTGTTTCAGGTGCACCCCCTGGCCTGAAAGAATCAAAAATGAAGAACTATGGAAGAAAGCAGGGCAGGAAACATTAGACATGCAAATCAGACGGAGAGAGTGGGGCTGGATTAGACACACCCAAAGGAAGCCACCATCCAGCACCACACTCCAGGCCCTGACCTGGAGCTAGCAGGGCAAAAGAAAGAGGGGACGTCCAAGAAACACCTGGAGGCGTGGCACGGAGGCAGATTTAAAGGCGCAGTACATGATCTGGCACGACGCAGCAGAATCAGCCCAGAATCGTGCCTAAGTATGAAGGTAAGTACACAAATAACTCTATTTTAGCTTCATTCTTTAGTTTCTAAATAACTTCTTACTCCAATAATTTCTGAGAAGATGATGGCAAATGCTGGTTGCGCGCCTCCATTGACGATGGCTCCCAGGCTTCCCAGTAGTATGAATGGCCACTCCGGGGCGTTCATCTTTAGGACACGACCAATACCTGCCTCTTCCTCTTTTTCCTTTTTCTAAATTTGATAAACAGTGATGCCTGTCATTCTCAAAATCTTAGGATAATCTTTTCAGTCTATTTATCAAAGAAAGATATCTAAATGTTTCATAATTATTGCCACAGTACTAATTTAAATTTCCTTCAAAATTCTTCAAAATTAATAGCTTATATACACATTTTTTATATCAATTTTCCTTCACATATGACTAAACATTACAATTTTCACTGATGAAAGTTTAACACTGTGAAGAGGTAAACTTATTTATTTGTGAGAGTCTCACCTTGTCCTTTTCCTTAGTTTTTTTGGTTTCGTTCTCCACAGGTACATGTGAATGGTGTACTGTGTGTTTGCGTTGCAATTTGTGGTCCGCTTTCTCAGGTTTCTTGTCTTTCTTACCTGCAAACTCAGCAATAAATTCTTCCTCTAAGACAAAGAGGATGGTAATGTAGGGTGCCGAGCAAACTTTAATTTTTTTAAGATTCTCCTTTAGAAAGTGAATCTCACAAAACGCCATGCATTAAAAATAGGTCTGAAAACGCATGCATGATGAATAGGAAACATTTTTAAACCAGTGACCTTAAATTTGCCACATAAATGAGCTTTTGTCAAGATTATGACGCACACTCATGTCATAAACAACCTTTGTACTAAGTATTAGTTTCCAATGTTCCTCTTTTACAAAGTTGTGATATGGACAAGTATTCTATAATTTTTCTGTCAGCGATCTTGAACTTGCCAAAATGACCTTGCATTAAGGTCATGGCACACTCTGGGGTCATAAACAATCTCTGTACCAAGTATGAATTTCACAATTTTGGTAGATGCCTCAATGGTTATTACAATTATGCCAACAGTTTAACTGCTTGATGTCTAGGAGTAAAGGAGGAGAGTTTTAAAGATTGCATTTTGACGGTTTTGGCCACACCCGAAGCCCCCCCCCCCCCCAGAAGGGGGGGGGGGGGTTGAGGTTGGGACAGGGACCATAAAATTAACAATTTATGTAACTCTTCACCAAATGATGCTATATGCCAAAACTGGTTCAGCAGTTCAAGAGAAGAAGCTGAAAGTGTTCAAAAGCTTACAACAAACGCATGACTGAAGACGGACGACGACGAACAAACACAGAGAGCATTAAGTCACCTGAGTAACTCAGGTGACATAAAAATAAACGAAAATGTACCTTTGAACAGGATAGCTATTTTTATTGTACATGTACAACTATATGTACGTAACAAGACTCTAAGATAATCATCAGTGAATTTACCCATGTATTAAAATCTAGAATTATGAATGCCATAGGTTGGCTAAAATATATTTTATTTGATATGATATTGCTAGAGACTCTTTTATGAAATATAAATCCACAGCAAATAGAAAATCCTTTAAATTATGATCTTACCTTCTTCATCAACTGTTTGATTTTTAGTCTTAAAACATAAATAATTAAAAACATAAAGATTATAAAAAAGTTGAATAAAAACTACTGTACAGCAATTTTTCTATCCTTGTATTATCCTTCATCAGTTTTGTAAGGGAGGGAATTTTCAAAGATTGTCATGTGAACGAAAATATTAAGTACATGTATTATGGTAATTGTTGCATGTCAAGAAAGCAAAGAAGAATCGCAACAGAGGGATCGTTATTAAAAACTGTAATAGGGAAGTAAGGCAGTTAAAGGTTGTTGGTTATTTTCTTTAGAACACCGGACCATAGATAACAAAAAGTCTTACTTTCAACACAATGGAATTTATCTGATACTCAGAAGCTCAGCAAGGTAATAATTAAGTTTTAAAAAATATCCTGACCTGTATGTTGACAAGTGTGGCATACACGCCTCCTTTCTGCATCAGCTGATTGTGATTTCCTTTCTCTACGAGATCCCCCTGCTGGAATCCTGCAATCCTGTCAGCAGTTTTTATTGTGGACAAACGATGAGCAACAACAATTGTGGTCCTACCAGCTCGAGCCTGCAGGAAAAGTTACAAAATCAATTTCCCTTTTCTGAATTTAAGAAATTTAGAAGCTGTTAGATTGTAAAACATATCCATTTTTACTAGTTGTTATCTTGAAAGGCCAAGATATTTACATCATATTTTGGTTTTGTGAACACAATAAATTACACAGCAAATATTGAAAAATTTGTAAGGATAATTTTGGTAAATTTTTGTTTACCTAACTTAACTTTCTCAAAGGGATTATTTTTGAGAAAATAAGATTGATCAAATATATAAAATAAAGTTTCTCCTATAGCAAGATAAGAAAACATTTATCTCCATACAAATATATCCATGTTCACAGTATTCTGCTCCACACTTTTCTCCTTTACCTTGTCTAGAGCCTCTTGTACCACAGATTCACTTTCAGAGTCCAAGGCTGAAGTAGCCTCGTCCAGCAGTAGAATTTTGGGGTCCCTGACTAAAGCCCGGGCAATAGCGATCCTATGTTTTTGTCCCCCACTCATCTGTGCCCCACGCTCTCCAACCAAAGTATCATATTTCTAACAAAATGAAATATTACACTTCATTTAAATCACTTTATCTTGTCTTTCAGGTTGGTAAATTGAAAAATTTTGTGAATAAGACTTAAAATATAAATGACATAAGGTCAATGAGTTGAATAATGGATGCCCTATTTACATCGGGAAACTTCATGATGAATTCATGAGCATTTGCCATTTTGCAGACAGCCTGTATCTCCTCATCAGTAACACCTTTTTTCCCATAACGAATGTTCTCCGCAATTGTTGTGGCGAACAATACTGGCTCCTGACTCACAATTCCAATTTGTCTTCTAAACCATTTCAAATTCAAAGTCTTCAAATTATTATTATCCAAACAGACCTGTGGAGGAATAAATGGAATCTCCTGTTTTAAGTTCCATTTCCATTACTGACACACAGTTTTAGGCCCCCTGGTCAATCAGGTGACCTATTGCTATCCGTTTCCGTCCGTCGTCCAGCGTTGTGCGTCGAGCGTTAACATTTGAACACTTTTAGCTTCTTCTCTGCAACCGCTGAACCAATATCAACCACTTTCGGCATAAAACTTTTATAAGTGAAGGGGGGACAAAAATTGTTAAATCCGGGGTCCTTGCCCCCCTGGGGCTTTAGTGGTGGGGCCAAAACCATCAAAATGAGTGCAATCTTTAAAATTTTCTTTACTTCTAGACATCAAGCAGTCATACTAGCTGTTGGATTTATTGTAATAAACATTGAGCCCTCTATCACAATTGTGAAATTCATGGCCCCAAGGCCAGGGGTTCTGGAGTTAGGGGTCGGGCTCTTATGATTATATAGTGAAAATGCATAAATTCCTTAAAAGTCTTCTCTCCCCTGTATATAAAGCAAATAAACTAGGTGTATGTTTATGATGATCAAGGGAGCCTCTTAAATTGTGAAATTTGTGATGTGACCCCACCTCAGGGTAAGGGGTTCTGCATGAGGGGGCTCTATTGATTATATAGGGAAAATGTATTAATTCTTTGAAAATCTTCTCTGCTCCTAGGTGTTTAGCAGATAGACCAAGTATAAAGTTATGATGATGAGCAAAGATGCCTCTTTCAAAATTGTGAAATTTGTAGCCCTAGGGTCAGGGAGGGGTGAGGTCTATTGAATATATAGTGGTAATGCATTTTTTTTTAAAATCCTTCTCTGCCCCTGGGTATTTAACAGAAAATCTAATTGCATGGTGATGAGCAAGGCTGTTTTTTCAAAAAGTTTGAAATTCACAACCCCGGGTCAGGTGTTTTGGTTTTAGGGTGAGGCTCTTTTAAATATATAGTAGAAATGCATTATTTCTTTGAAAATCTTCTCTAGATCTGTCCTTGTTATTAAGGAAATCCCTGATCATCCTATTTCTCTTGCTTTGGGGCAACAAAGTTTCATTTAAAATTTTGTTTTAATCTATGAACCGTTACATTATCCTCAAGTGACCATCCAGGACCTTGGACCTCTTCTTTATTTAATATTAGGTTAAATACGGTAAAGCATTTTTGAATTTGGAGTTTTCTAGACAAGAAACTCAACTGCGTGATATTGACTCCAGCTAGATAATTGATTTACCTCCCCTTCCTCTGGATCATAAAACCTCTGAATGAGTTGTATGATGGTACTTTTGCCACAACCACTTGATCCTACTAGGGCTACAGTTTCCCCTCTGTTGATCTCTAGTGAAACACCTTTCAATACCTGAAGATACGTGATAAAAATTCTTTAAATATGTACAGTTCATTTCCTTTTTTCAAATCAAAGCACAATCCTGATTTAGAAATGTCAATCTGACCTGCACTTCCGGTCTTGCCGGATATCGGAATTTGACGTTCCGTAACTTCACGTTCCCTGTGACTCCGCCTGGCTTTAAGCCCTCGTCACTGGAAGAATCAATATCTGGAACCTAGCGGAATGAAAAAAAAACATTAACAATTACAAAGTATTCTGATCATCAATATCCATGATGGCTTTTTGTTCTTTCTAGCTTGAAAGAAACAGCTTTAATGTATATATTTACTCCAGAGTTTGTATTGAATCTGGAAAGGAGGAATGAATAAATACACATAAAAAACTAATGGCTGGATCGCAACCCTTGCCTTACCAGTCAGCTGCTCTAATTACAGAATTATCCAGGCCGATATCCACATCTATATAGCCCAAACTACTAAAGTATCACCAACTTGGCTTACCTGCTCGATTAGCTGATACACAGTATAAGCTGCTCCTCTGGCCTCAGAGAATTTCCCCAGTGGGGGCGTGGCATACCCCAGAGCAAAGGCTGATATCATTATACTGAAGAATACCTAGGAATAACAAATCCACAAAGAATGATGATCAAAACACTCAGGGCAATATCCTCGTAACAAGCAAGAGGACTTCCAAACTAGGTGGAGCCAAAAAAATTACAATTAGGACATTTCCATAGAGAATGTAACTTTACTACCTTAACATTATTAAGAAATAAATGCATGTGTAAACTTACAACATGGATATACTCTATACAGGGTTATTTTCAATCCATGTTATTTTTGCCCTTTCACGCTTGAAACTAATTTTGCAGTTTTAGATTTTCCCCAAACACAGTTGTGCTAAAGAGATACTGCTGTTTTCTTTGGATTTGCCCCGGTTTTCAGAATTCGCAAGGAGGGCGAAAAGGGCCAAAATAAAATAGGAGCAAAAAATTCCCTGTTAATACAGTACATGAAACAACTTACTTTAAAAAAGGACATTCTCCTGAAAAATTGTAAACTTACAATGAGGACATTTATTTGAATCATCTCTGTAAACTTACAATGAGGACATTCCCTTGAATCATCTCTGTAAACTTACAATGAGGACATTCACTTGAATCAACTCTGTAAACTTACAATGAGGACATTCCCTTGAATCATCTCTGTAAACTTACAGTGAGGACATTCCCTTGAATCATCTCTGTAAACTTACAATGAGGACATTCACTTGAATCATCTCTGTAAACTTACAATGAGGACATTCACTTGAATCATCTCTGTAAACTTACAATGAGGACATTCCCTTGAATCAACTCTGTAAACTTACAATGAGGACATTCCCTTGAATCATCTCTGTAAACTTACAATGAGGACATTCACTTGAATCAACTCTGTAAACTTAGTACAATGAGGACATTCACTTGAATCATCTCTGTAAACTTAGTACAATGAGGACATTCACTTGAATCAACTCTATAAACTTACAATGACGACATTCCCTGGGGTATAATCGCTGTCCTCCCTCACCAATTTGGCTCCATACCAGAAACCAAAGCCATAAACAGAAAAGATGATGAAGTAGATAAGACCCATAGAGAACCCGATAGTCAGACCCTTCCTGATTCCTTTCTTCTTGGCATCACTCAGGTGTTTGTTGTATCTAGTTAAAACAAATTCAATACATGTAAAAGCTCCTTATTTTTTATTACATGAAAAAGAAATGAGTGCGAATTTCTCAAGAATTTTACTAGTTTTTTTTTTCTTTTACCATGAAAAATTAAGGATAAATTAAAAATTAAGATATAAACAACCGAAGCACATTTAAATTTAAGTAAAGGAGAGGAACAGTGTTATCTGCTAAAATAAGGTATCAAAAACAGCCAAACATGATAAGAATTTATACAAAAATACAGTAGTGAAAAGTCGGTATGGTTAGAATGTAGGAATCTTTAGCACCAATGTTTAGAACGAAAAATTAATATGACATCAATTTTATTTCATGTATTTAATGTATATTAATTTGTAAGACAGACAAGATTGCCAATCTGTTAACATCTAAACTCATGGTAATGTGTCCAGAGTGTAGAATTAAATGTGAACTCAAAAACCCAAGTAAATGATGACTTTTTTCCTCACTTTTTCTTTAAATTTAATTTATTTTATGACAATTGACATACAAGTTCAAGATCGTCTCTTAGTATCTCTCAGAGGGAAAGATATGGGCATGGAGTGTCATTGGTGTGACAGGGGGGTTAGTACACTGGAGAGGACCCACTCACCTATCACATTCTTTGTCTTGTCCCCCAAAGGCGATCACTGTTCTGATAGCACCTAGAACCTCGTCAGCCACGGCTCCTGCTTTGGCATACGCATTTAGACTCTTGGAAGACGCTGCTGTGATCAGCTGATGAAGATCAATCAGAACTAGTTAAGTGCATTGGACTCAAAATTTGTTTACAGTTTATTAAGATTTCATGGCTTCTAAAACATATCTATAGGACTCAAATTGTGGTACATGGGATCTTCTAGAAAAAGACTACAATTGCTTTTTTACTCAGCTAAATTAATGTATAAAAAAGTCTATACAATGATGAATTATTAATTTGCTAAAATAAATTTGCAGAAAACTTCCCTTTAAACGCAGTTATTAGATTCTAAATAAATCTATTATTGTAATGTTAAGTTCTTATCACATATACACTGTCCACACAAACTGATCTGAGGTGGGCTCAATACATTGGCCTGTTTCAAAGAGTTGATTCAATTGTTGGGAAGCATTTTTTTTTCCTTAATGTAAATCATATACGGTATCAATTTTGATGCACCAGATGCGCATTTCGACAAATTATGTCTCATCAGTGATGCTCAAGCCGAAACGTTGGAAATCCAAAATATTTAAGTAAAGAAGACTTCGAAGAGCTGAAAAAATTGCCAAAGACTGGAGCCAAATACGTCGAAGAATCAGAGCTATGCATGAGTCCACTTAAAAAATGGAGTGACATTGATTGGTTAAAATACAACATTTAACTTCTATATCTGTATTCTAATTCTATGTAAACAAATTTTAAGTATACCGAGTCAGTTTGAGTTGCCAATAGCAATTTTTACCTTGTCCTCGATGAGAGCTGCTATCACAATTAGGGGACTGAAGGCCAGCATGGCCAGAGTAAGCTTCCAGCCATACACAAAACCGATAACCACCCCGGTAAGGAAGGTGGAAAACCACTGGAAAAAGATCCCCATCTTGTCCCCAATACCGGTCTGAATTTTACTGATATCACTAAAGACATAAAATATTAGAGTATTATGTTCCATTCCATGAAGTTTTAAGGAAAAACATATTAATGTAAGCACACATTCAAAATGAAAATTAACAAAAGTTGAAAAATAATAATTAAAATCTTTCATCATGAATTTATTTCCTTACCCAGACAGTCTGGTATTCAGCTCCCCAGAGTCATGTGTATCAAACCAGCTAATCTCCTGTCTCATGATGTTCCTAAAGAAGGCGATCCTAATCCTGTGTGTCTGTCTCTCAGCAGCTGTCACCCAACAGGCTACCTGACCATATCCAAAAATAAGGACGCCTCCCCCAATGCCTTATGAATAAAGATAAATTTCATTCTGGGTGACCAATTACATATGGATTCATTTTCTGTCTTACACATTAAAATTCCAGTACATTATCAACTATAGCCCCTTAATGATTAAACAATTAAACTTACTAATTGTCATATACAAAAGCATAAGTTACTTTTTGCATTTTAAACTAAGAAATTGCATGGTTAAATAACATATGCACTAATAGTAAATGTTTATCAATAACTTCCTTTGAAGCTTCATAAATTTCTCGATAAATTCATACTCATTGGAATCTGCATATTGACATTTTTAACTCCACAGGTATAATTGTATTAATTATGTACCTATGTAATAATAAACAAATAGGGTCATAGTGTCCAGCAGATCCTCTGAAATAGCTTTGTCCAGGGAACTGAAATCTGTCACATTATATGGAGCAGCCGCAAGGACTGTTTTGTGTGAGCTACAATATTAAAATATGGGACGATTTTATTTCAAGGAGATAATATATTGGAATAACATTTTGAGAAAATAAGATAGTATATAAGACTGCTTAAGGAAAATAAAGAAAATAGAATTTACTTTTTCTTAATTGATATATAACAGAAAAGGAAAACATGACGGACCAGACCAAGATTTAAACCCAGGCCCCCCTGAATCACTAGTTAGGTACTCTACCAACTGAATTATCCGGCCTCTGGCGAACAAACGTGCATGACCACTAAATGTCTCCCTCCTTAAAGGTTTCCGCCCATGAAGACACCAATCCAGACTCTTTCCTAGCAGATCTTTCACTTGTTACTGAAGCTAGCTGGGGCATGGCAATGGTAATACCATTGGCATGTAGTACCATAGGTAATCAAAGATTACAAAGCTCATCTCGAAATATACCTTGAAATAAGGCAGTCTCACATCAAATGAATGGTCTGGTAACGTGCATCTGTAGATGCATCATCCATGCAAGTTTGGTCACCAAAAGGCTTATGGTTACTTTAGAATGGACTTGCCTCAAAACTTAACCTGGTCATTCATTTAGAAAATGCAAAGTCAAATCCAGCATCTGAAGTAAGTCTAATAGTGACATCCCTAGATGCATCATCCATGCAAGTTCGGTCCTGGTTGGCCTTATAGCTACTTGGGAATGAACTTGCCCCCAACTTTAACTGGAACGTTGTAGCTAACCCCGATGAGGGTGGTAGAAAATGCATGTTTGTTAATGTTTGTTGTTGAAAATGTTATCAATTTTAATGAGGAATAATGATGATAATCATGCTATTGATGGCGGAAGATAGATGAAAATGATGCTATTGATAATGATGACGATTATGCCATTGACAATGATGATGATGATTATGCATTGACAATGATGATGAAAAATAATGAATATGCTAATGATGATGAAGTTGATGATGGATGTTGATGAAAAATGCTGAGGATGATTATACATGTACGGTACCTGAGAATAGAGGGATTGGCTACAGCTTGACCAATGGTGATTCCAGCAGTTGCCAGATAGGATGATATATTAAGAAGCCAATTGTAATAGATTCCTGAGTTGACAAAAGTATCTGTTGTATCACCGAACACGATCATCATACTGGGCAACGCAGCTCCATGGCAGACTGCGCAGAACGATCCAAAGATCATCAGGAAATAATCAAACCATGTTCCGTACTTAAACTGTAACAGAAGTCAATAAGAAACTGAATTATTTTTATGTTGTATATTTCAATCTCACATGTCATATTTCTCATGGAATCTCACATAATCAAGGCCCTCAATTGTCTATAATTGGAGCTGTCTAAGGGTCCCATTCCCCATTCAAAAAAGGTACCTTTTTTTCCCAATTGAATATTTTAATTTTCCCTATAATCATTCTCCCAAAAATTTTAGAAAATATAGTTGGTCGCCGTTGGATATATAATAATTTAATTTTCTATTCATATTCCTATGTATTACAAAGGAAAAATGTAGTTATTAATAAAGACCAGAATGTGGAATATATCATATGATTTTGAAGTATACTGGTTATCCCAAAATTCCCCATATGGTCGCTATTTTCCCAATCTTTATGGCCCTGGTTCCATTCCCAAAAAGTGGGGTGAGAGCCCTTTATTATCCTTTTTGTGAACAACCATAAAGCAGCTATATTCAAGGATCTATAATTAGATTGGCTAAGGTTATATGTTATAGATTATAATATTCAAAATTAGATTGGCTACATAACTATAGTTATTTTAGAATATAATATTCAGAATTAGATTGGCTACATAACTATAGTTATATATTATAGAATATAATATTCAGAATTAGATTGGCTACATAACTATGGTTATATATTATAGAATATAATATTCAGAATTAGATTGGCTACATAACTATGGTTATATATTATAGAATATAATACTCAGAATTAGATTTGCTACATAACTATGGTTATATATTATAGAATATAATATTCAAAATTAGGTTGGCTACATAACTATGGCTATATGTTATAGAATATAATATTCAGAATTAGTTGGCTACATAACTATGGTACATGTAATACGTTAGAGAATATAATTTTCAGAATTTCTCTCACGTTCCATTTCAACAGTCTGATCACCACTTACTATTTCTAGAGCCCCAATCATCTTTTGTTCTTCTTTCTCTCCATCCTTCTTACTTTCACTTTCATCTTCAACTTTTCCATTTCCATTTGCTAATTCCTTTTCACCTTTTGTGTGTATATATATATATATATATATATATATATATATATATATATATATATATATATATATATATATATATTGAACTTTTAAATTAGGTAATTCTTTTAAATGTCAAGGATGCTTCCCTTGAAACCTTTCAGATGTCGTCTCGATCCGTTTTTAAAATACATGTATGTACTAGCTTAATTAAGTTTACAGTACTGAATCAAAAAGTATTAATCTAGCAATGTTGTGCCATCAGAATAATACAGTATTGTTCTTGAAATTATCAATAATCTTACAGCTTGTAAAACTTAAACAGGAATTAAACAGAGTATTTTTCAAACATGAAGTTACTGCATGGATTTTGATCTTGTCCCAGTCCTTTAACTGCAGTCCATCCCTAATGCATGAATTCCAATTGGTATGCGTAGAACAAGTGGAAAATTGACATCAGATACAGTATACTGAGAATTATTTTCATAATCAGAGACTAGAGAAATGTACAGAAATGTGTATAATTAGCTTACATCCAGACATGCTTGAATTATAAAATCCTAAACCAGCAGAATAAAGTCTGAATCCAACAACATGTGGGAATAAAATCACACAGATCTAGAACAAGGTATAGTTCTACATAGAAATCCATTAAATAAGTGAAACAGCAAGACCATTTACAGATGCATGAGGATGAAATTGAAGATCTAGTACACTGGTATATATCCATTATAATATCTAAGATGCAAAAAATATATAATACGTGCATAGATCTGATTGTGCAATTTCATCCATCAGCAGGTACTTTGAAAAGAGGTTTTCTATAGGTGGTATAAATCTCAGGTAAGGGTTTCGTTAGGGTCACCTACAGAAGATAAAATGATCTGCCTGTAATACAATCCAAAGTACATTATAAAAAGATCTTAGTAACTGGATACTGAGGATCATCTTTCCCTGCTAGAAAAAATTCTTAATCCTATTTCTTTTGCTTTTGGGCAAAATAGCTTCATTTGTTAGTTTATTTTGTTTTATTATACCCCACAAATGAAGTTGGGGGGGGCATACAAGAATCACCTAGTCCGTCTGTCTAACAATCTTACCTGGGCTATAATAACTTTGTAATGGAGAATCATTGGAGGCTCATACTTGGTACCGAGATTGTTTATGACCCCATAGTGTGTCATGACTTTGGTGCAAGGTCATTTTAGCAAGTTCAAGTTCACTGACAGAAAAAAAAGTATAGAATTCTGTCCAGGCCATAAGTTTGTAATAGAGAATCATTAGGAGCTAATACTCAGCACAAAGGTTGTTTATGACCTGAGGGTGTGTCTTGACCTTAACCAAATGTCATTCTAGCAAGTTCAGGGTCACTGGCATAAAAAGCAATAAATTCTTCTGTAGGCCATAACGTTGTAATGGAGAGTCATTGGAAGCTCATACTTGGTACAAAGATTGTTTATGACCTCTGTGTGTGTGTCATAACCTTGACTCAAGCTTATTTTTGTGGCAAAGTCAAAGTCACTGGAATAAAAAAGTTAAAATTCATGACAGCTTATAATTTTCTTTTGGAGAAACATTGAATGTCCATATTTCACTAAAAGATTACTTATGACAGGGGGATGTGTCATTTTTTAATCAAAGTCTTTTCGGTAAGTTCAAGATCACCTTTACAAAATTTGAATAAGCACTTCAAAAAACTAAGCTTGGGGGAGGGTTATTATTTTGTGAGCTCGCGCACAGTACATCCAGTTTTATAATTTTGTGGATCATTTACAATGTTGTATTTTACTCAGGTGACCGCTAAGGCCCTTGGGCCTCTTTTAATACTTTGAGATGTCATATTTCTACCCTTAAAATTTCATGCATTTTAAGAAGAGCTATCAAAAGTATACAATTTTCTTATCAGCTCTTATCGGTGCAATTTTGTTTGCTTTCTTGCATGATATTGAATGTGAACATTATTAAATGTGTACATTGTATATTTCTATTAATTACTGAAGGATGTAAGGTTTCAAAAATTCATGTTGTAATCAGTGTAAGCATAAATATGAATACTTTATAAATGTTGTGAAGTTATTAGATTCATAACTTTTATGTTTATTATTTTCTTAAAAAAAATATATATATACATATCCGTTTAATATCCCTGAATTGAAGACTGAGCTTTCCGCTTACACTTGTCTACTAATATCAGGATTAACTATCGCAAATATAAGACTGCTTTTTCACACTTATTTTCAATATATGGCTTTAACAGTAGAACATTTCGTGGCACCTAAATTTTGACAAACTTATGTGAGATCCACTTTCTCAATGTAAAAAAAACAAGGTTTTCTTGTCACCCTACATTATTAACATCCTCTGTGTCTTGGGGGATACTGTACTATCCAAACACTGAGTGGCATATTTATTTCTTATTCAGAGGAAGAATTGATTGCTGAGTTTGCGGGTATTAAAGACAAGAAAACGGAGAAAGCGGACCACAAATTGCAACGCAATCACACAGTACACCATTTACCTGTGGAGAAAGAAACCAAAAAAACTGAGGAAAAGCACAATAGGTGAGACTGTCACAAATAAATAAATCTACCTATTCACAGTGTCAAATTTTAATGATTTCATCAATGAGAATTGTAATGTTTAGTCATATGTGAAGGAAAATTGGTGTACAAAGTATGCATGCTAGCTATTAATTTTGAAAGATGTTGAAGGAATTGTGAATTGGTACTGTAGGAATAATTATTTTGAAAACTTCTAGACGCGTATCTTTGATAAATAGACTGAAAAATTTTCTAAGGTTTTGAGAAAAACAGCCATCACTGTTTAGCAAGCGTAGAAAAAGGGAGGAAAAGAGGAGAAGGCAGGTATTGGCCGTGTCCTAAAGAAGAACGCCCCGGAGTGGCCATTTATACTACTGGGGAGCCTGGAAGCCATCGTCGATGGAGCGCAGCCAGCATTTGTCATCATCTCAGAAATTTTTGAATTTATATTAATTAAGATATTAATTTACAAACCATAGAATGAAGCCAAAATACAGTTCTTTGTGTCCTTGAATATAATTTTTTCTTCATTGGTGTTAAGCAAGTATCCTTAAGATGTATTGCATAACAGCAAAGAAGTAATGATAGCAAAGGAACTTTAAACTTTGAATTTTTTCAGACCTTTGCTATCTCTAGCAACAGTGAACAAGAAGATAAGGTGTTGATGTGGACACTGCTGCTTGTCGGGTTATGGGCTGCCAGCTTTCTCACATTTCTTCTTTAGGTTAGTAGTGTATAACACTTGGCTTTTTTCTTTTTCACATTTTTTTGTTTATTGCTTTTAAACATAATAAGAATAGTAAATTATACATGTTGCATATACTTGTACAGTAGCTTATAATTTCGGACACATTACTCGTTTAAAGGTGATATTTTTTGTTCATGATTATAGCTTATACACCTTAGTTATATTAATAGCTTACATACATGTAACTTGTTCCAGATGTAGCTTTTGTTTACATTATGTACGATACATGTACATGTGCCATTTAACTTAAGGTCCATCGATACTCTGATGGGAGAGATAACTGCTATAAATTACCTGCACTATTAGACCTTATCAAAGTCAAACATCAGGTCAAGAGAAGACATCATCAGCTAAGAAACTTGCAAATCAGCTACTGAAAAGTGGTGTCTTCCATTGTTTCCAGCAGCACCAAGAGAGTGGGGGGGGGGGGGGGGATGAAGAAGTCATTAGTGTACTACAAAACCAAGCAGCTATCAATTGCCCCCCTAAAGGATGGGAAGAAATGACACAAGAAAACAATGCGCTACATTGGAAACTTTTGGTTATGGCCAAGGACTGTCCTTTTAGGAAATACTACTCCTACAAAACATAGAATACCTCCTACTTATATTGTAAGTAAAACTTCCTGGCCCTTCCTGGCTCCAGAATGCCTAAGATTGACAACATCAGGTTAAAATCAAAGTTCTACATGTATTTATTTGCCGTGCTGAGAGGTCGCCTGAAATAAAGTGCAACAAGACACTGAAGTCCTATTAGAAATGTAACAGCAAGCATGAAGCAAGGGGGGGGGGTGACCCCCTCCCCCATCACCCCTTTTTTATGTATTTGACAGATGAGTAGTCTGCATGAAAATTAAATCATTGAATTTACACGAAATTGAACTCAGTAAGCTGATTGGCATTGGACAGGGTGCCAAGGAAGCTTACTTTCTTACAATAAACAATATTTTAACAAACACACTACAAGTCCATTAAAAAAAAACAAGAACCATTCTGACAAAATATAAAATTTTATTCATAAGATTGTCTTTAATTTAAAAAAAGAAAATTTTATCTAACATCAAACGAGATTCTCCTATAAACAGATCCAGATGACTACAATTCTAGTTAATGTAACTGACAAGATGTCACTTCCAAAATGGTGTCGTGAAATTCATCAGAAGGACATGATTTGTTAAGAACTTAAAAAAAAAAACAAAATAAAACATGGCCCAATTCTTTCTTTCCAAGTAAACAACAGAAAAAGGGAAAGGATCTAACTATGAATCTTCATATATATAAATTATAGAGAGAGAGACTTATTAGGTGTACATGTACTTGGTGTCAAGAGGTTAGATAACAACACTTACAAACAAATATATATAAACAAAATATCACAATTTGCCATGATCACTGGAAAATGATCATTTTCATAACAAGAATTCATCACATATATTTGATACATTTTGACGTTTGGCACAAAGCTACTATACTACTAGTATGGATTTCACATGAATCATAACCCAAACTTATATAAAACGGTCAGACATGTTTTTGAGTTTTAAACAGTTCTTTGTCTTTTTTTTATCTTAATTAAATTGAGATTCAGTAATGGGACATGTAGTACACAAGTTATTTTTTCCCTATATACTTGTAACATTAACGTATGTAAATAAACATGTAAATATCTATCTTGCATGTGGACTGTACATATATTTGAACCTGCCAAAAAATAATTGGATGATACTCTTGGTTGTTGAATAATTGAAAAAAAATCAGGCACTTAAATATACATGTACATGTATGATGCTTGTTTTATATCTAATTAATACATGTTACATGTTCATTATATTGTACATGTAAAAGGATTCTAGAAATAAACATAGCTCATCACAATGAAAAGAAAGTTGGTTACAATTTTACAAAACTATAAATTAAGGTGTCATTCCATTATTCTATAAGAAAACTTTACAACAACCTTTAAAGTGCAAAGTAATTCTAGTGTTGATATATATATATATGCCATTTCTCTTACAAAATAAATACAAGATACCCGTGTTTACATGTATAGCACAAAATGCTGTCTCGACTCATATCTAACAGAAATCATCAAAAGATGTTGAAAAATTTAGCCTACTCACAAGATACTGTTTACAAGTCCACAGAATGATGTAATTCTATACCTTTATACTTAATACAGATGTATGTTCTTGGCACTATAGTCAAGAGTATGTGTCGGAAGTGTGTATATTAACGTAAGTATTGTCATGTGAGAAAGAGCACCTAATCCCATACCTACCATCTGACCTGTAAATGAGTATAGAAATATACAGTAATTCTCTTCTCTTTATGTACATGTACAAATAAATAAATATCATTTGATAGTAATTCAAACACATGAAATCTTTAAACACTGTTTACAGAGCTACAATTCTACCATATATTAATTTAATACATTTCATACAAATCCAAAACAATTGAGATTAGACATGACAAAAGTTTGTTAACATTCATAACACTTCAAAACACAATGTTAAAAAGTTTAAGAGCAAATTGCTTAATCTGCCAAACTTTGAGGACCTGCATACAACCACAGAAATAAAGCTGATCGGGGTTTGACTTCTTTATAAAAAGAAATAGATGTACACCCCAAATATCAACAAAACATAAGTCTTTGAAAAAATCTAAGTTTTCTCTGTTGTTAATTCTTTCCCCTTTTGTTTGCCGTGTTGACCAGGCGAGCGTAAATGCCCTGTTTGGACATTAACTCTCCATGTCGACCTTGCTCGGCCACTTCTCCGTGTTTGATGACACAGATCTTGTCGGCGTTCTGGATCGTGGAAAGTCGGTGAGCTATAACGATACACGTTCTTCCCGCTCGTGCTTTGTCAAGGGCTTCTTGGACAATCTAGAAATTAAAGTATGTAAAACTACAATAGATAAATCTTCATTGGAAAAGAAATTATAGTGAGACTTGCCTTATCCAGATGTCGCCTAATACAATGTTAACTTTTAGTCCCTTTCAGTGAATTCAATTGTTTAAAATGTTGTGTAATCTGGAATGTTGTCTAATCTGTCCCACTTCTATCGAACCAGTAGTGTCCAGATTAGACAAAATTTGACAGTACTAACATAAAATATTGTTTGTTATCTTGGAGATGTATTCATAATTCTGTTTCTTAGCCTTGTCTGGAAATTCAAATGTTGAGTGATGAAAACTTAATGAAAGCTTTCAGACATGATGGATCCAGGCATTAACAAAGTAACAGGAAAGGCCTTGAAACTTCCTTTAAATAATAACAATAATTTTGATACTGCTGATGTTAAAGGTGATGAATGAATGGACAGTGAAAGGATATTTAAACAGTGCTATTACCTTTTCACTCTCTGTATCGAGGGCAGAAGTGGCTTCATCCAACAGAAGAATCTTGGGATTTCTGACCAGTCCACGAGCAATGGCCACTCGCTGTTTCTGTCCACCTGAGAGTTGTGTCCCCTTGTCACCACACAGTGTGTCATAGCCCTGTAAAATATGGAATTTCATGCAAGCAAATGCTAAAAAGAATAACATGGAGCTATCAAATGCATATGTACATGTATACAGTCATTTACATAGTAACTTACTTTTCTAAGTTACTTGAATTACCCAGTTTAAATCATCATTAATCTTATCAAACTGAGGCCTGTTCAACACAGTGCTCGCCAAAATTCCTTATACCTCCAACAGAAATGTTAGCGAGCGCTCACACTGTTGAACATGCCTCTGGTTTTTACTTTATTAGGCATGTTTTTCTTACTGATATATTTCATAACTACAGTTTCTTTTTTGGACAACATGTATATAACACTTATTTTCTTTTTTTTTCCTTACATTGGGCAAAGACTGGATAAACTCGTGAATATTAGCGTTTCTAGCAGCCTCAATGATCTCCGCCATTGGAACCTCTCTGAAGTTATCCCCGTATGCGATATTTTCTGCAATACTGCAATCAAACAACACTGGTTCCTGGGACACGATTCCAATCTGACGACGCAGCCACTGGACGTTCAGATCTTTCAAATTATTCTTATCCAGTAACTATAATATATTTACAAAAATCTACTTAAATAAAAATCCATTCATCTGTTTAATAAAAATTTCCTTTGGGATAAATGTTTTGTGCCTTAACTGGAACAGCACTGACAATTCATTTTTTAAAGTAAAATACATATTTAATGTACATGTATATCTTATTAAGTGACACAACACAGTAATAACTACTGACCACATCACCAGTCTCAGGATCATAAAATCTCTCTATCAGCTGCATTGTGGTACTCTTGCCGCACCCAGAGGCACCCACCAATGCCAAAGTCTCCCCGGGGGTCACCTCTAAATTCAAACCCTGCAGGACCTCCACATCTGGGCGAGTTGGGTAGCGGAAGTGAATATTTCTGAATGACACTGCACTAGTGAAACTCTCCTGTAAAAATGAAAATTATTTTCATTTATACATGTATGCACATATACATATTGGAAGCTGGATAGACCAATAAATATCTATAAATAGTTTATATCAGCTTTTGTTTCTGTTCGGGATTTTTTTTGTTTTTGTTGCTTTTTTTTTCAAATACAAGTGCAAAATTCTTAATTTTAAAACATCATCTGTAAGCTAGAGATAAGTATGAATTTTCAAATTATAATTATGGATTATCCCAAAAAAAAAATGAAATCAAAATTTTAATACTTTGGTAATTGAACCATAGCTAACAAAAACTTTGGTCAGGAAAATGAATGAATGAATAAATACATGTACATTCCAATTTTTGCAAAATGAAACTGAAAATGTCCTACATCTTTGATGCCTTCCTCAGAGTATGGATCAATCTTTGGCTCTCTGTCTAGTAGCTTGAAGATTAATGCAGCAGATTTCTTGGCCTTCCCAGCATCAGGTGCAAAAGCGCTCGCCTCACCCATAGCCATTGCACCAAACACAATAGCACTGAATACTCTGTGAAACAGAACATAAAAATCTTCTCAATAAGTTATCATTCCAATAAAAATACTGTTACAGTACGTTTTCCTCAATTTTTCGTCAAACTTCAATTTTCGTTGTTATCATGGTAAAGCTCGATCACAAAATTAGGTAATCACTGAAATGCATATTTTACTTTTGATGCATTTTGCAAAACAATGAGAAATCCTTTCAGGAATTTATTTATCAATGGAATTGGCTTTTTTCCTGAATCAACATGAAAATAAATGAAACCCGAGTACTTATAAGTAATGAAGAAAAACTATCCTGGACAATTTAAAAAATGTCAGTACAACTCAATACTTTTGGAAGCGGAAAGTTTAGAATTTCTACTAGTCTTTCAAAGCTGACAAAGTAAAACCTTGACCCAGCATATAGCTTTAACAATGAACTTCAGACTGACCAAATGTGTAGTGTCAATCATTTTAATCCAAAAGTTATGGCCAAGGTTCAAGATGGACACTAGTTGATGAATTATTAAAAAGAAGACCCCCCCCCTCCAACAATCCGAAATCCTAATCAATCTTATACTACTTTTTTCAGCATGTAAGACTTTGACAAAATAAAATCATTCAAAATAAATTATGAAAACCTACTTGAACACATCGGTGAATGTCATTTCATTTTCCTCTATCATGTAAGCACCAAAATAGAAGGCGGTGGCATAGGCAAAGAACATGACAGCAGTGGAGGCAGCGAAGGCAATCCCTGTTAGATGGGACTTTTTAAGGGCGGATTTATAGGGAGTGTCCAGCTGTGATTTGTACCTCTCTACCATCATGTCCTCCTGACACAGACTGGCTACCGTACGGATGTTTTCTATGGCTTCTGTGGCTGTTTTGCCAGACTCTTCCAAAGCCTCCTTATTTTGACCTGAAATTAAAAACAAATACAGTCAGACCTTGTCATCTACAACTTGATTGGAGCTAAAAAAATTTTTGAGATGTGAGAGAATTATAGATATTAAGGTTAAATTACATAGTGAGCTAGAGGCCAATGGGCTAGAATAAAATAAATATATAGAAAATTCCAGGATGTCTCTTTTTTGATGTCATTCATCTTAAGCAAAGTTTCATCTACATTCAGAGTTCTGTCCAAGGAACAATGTATTAAACCTACACAAGGTTTCATTATGTGTTAAGTATTTTTATTAAAATTTGTAGAGTTTTTACCTGAAACTCCCTCCAGAAGTTTCATCTGAAGAACACCAGCTATTCCAATGATTGGGATAAATGCTAGAATGACTAGAGTTAACTGCCAGCCATACACAAAACCAATAATGATACCAGTTCCTATGTTGGCAAAGTTCTGTAACATGGTTCCCAGTTGTGCTCCTGAGGCCTGTATAACAAAGTAAGCTTAGATATTATATACACTAGCTGACAGGGTATGAATAATTTTAACTGTTCTGTACATCTAGAATTCAATTAGCAGCTGCTTCTACCCTTTTCATCCATCTACTTTATTTGTATAAAAGCACTTTTGAGCTTTTGGTTCAGATAAGGCAGAAGCTTAGACATTTTTGTAACAAATTACTTTCTATCAGTTATCAAAAGAGGGGAATTCCCTTGTCCCCAATACCAAATATATATGTAAATATTTGTCTCCGTTTTATTTTTGTCCTCTTTCAGAGACAGAGTTATCTCTCTTTAAATGCAACTGTCTTGGCAAATTTACACAGGGTGAAATTGTTGGTAAGTGTGATAGGCCAAAAACAACACTGCATGAGCAGGACTACTCTTTGGTGTCCTCTTTACCCACCCCCTGGACTTCTGCAGCCTCTGTGGCTAGCCTGGTAGTCAGGGCTCCGGTGGAATTTTTCTGATCATCAAAGTACTCGATATCCTGTCTCAGTAATGCACGGAAACACGATTGTCTCAGTCTCATTGTAAGATTCTCCCCAGACACACTGAAGCTGAATCCCTGTAAAGGAAATAATTCGTAAGAAACAACAACAGTAATGGGAAGTAACTCTGTACCCCTCTTTTTTTACTCAAATAGCTACTTGCTAGTAAGTACTCAATCAAATATGTCCTTTTATGAGGAATTTCAGTGTTTGAGACCAAATTGCTAAGTATTTAATACCTTTTTTTAGGAAGTGTATATAGCAGATTAGAAAGTAGACAATGTACATATAATCATCTAACTTGAACAAAATGTGTAAGAGTTTATCCCGGAAATAAACCAACAACCTCTACAGACTACTAGCCTACATAAAGATGTGTTTCTGAACTAAATACCTACCTGAAGAAGAAATGTGAGAAAGCTGGCAGCCCCCACCCCCACCAGAAGCAATGTCCACATTAACACCTTGTCTTCTTGTTCACTGTTGCTAGAGATAGCAAAGGTCTGAAAAAAAAAATCAAAATTTAATGTTTCTTTGCTATCATTACTTCACTTTTAGGCAATACATCCTAATCAACACTTGTTTAACACAAATGAAAAAAAAATATATTCAAGAACACAAATAACTCTATTTTGGCTTCAATCTATGGTTTGTAAATTAATTTCTTACTCCAAGAATTTCTGAGAAGATGATGGCAAATGCTGGTTGTACGCCTCCATTGACGATGGCTCCCAGACTCCCCAGTAGTATGAATGGCCACTCCGGGGCGTTCATCTTTAGGACACGTCCAATACCTGCCTCCTCCTCCTCCTCCTTTTTCTCCTTTTTCTAAATTTGAACAACAGTGATCGCTGTTATTCTCAAAATCTTAGATAATTTTTTAGTCTGTTTAATCATCAAAGATAGGCATCTAGAAGTTTAATAATTATTGGTACAGTACTAATTCACAATTCTTTCAACATCCTTCAAGATTAATTGCTAGCATATACATTTTGTACACCAATTTTCCTTTGCATTTGACTAAACATTACAATTTTCACTGATGAAATCATTAAAGTTTGACACTGTCAATAGGTAAATTTATTTATTTGTGACAGTCTCACCTTGTCCTTTTCCTCAGTTTCTTTAGTTTCTTTCTCCACGGGTAAATGGTGTACTGTATGTTGGCGCTGCAATTTGTTGTCCGCTTTCTCAGGTTTCTTGTCGTTTCCACCCGCAAACTCAGCAATCAATTCTTCCTCTGAATAAGAAACAAAATAAATATCCCACTCACTGACAGGAGGTACAGTATTTCCTAGCAAAAATACAGTAGATGGTAAAGTATTCTATAGCCAATGAGGGAAATGAAGGGTTACAAGCAAACTTTGACTTTTTTCTTTTAAATTCTCCTCTAGAAAATATATTTCACTTAAACTTAATTGTCAAAATTTAGAAGCAACAAAATGTTTTACTGGTTACAAGTCATGTATTGAAAATAAGGCTAAGCAAGCGGCCCATGGGCCGAAATGCTCACTTCAGTCACATTAGATTTTTCCTAATATACATGTATTCCTATCGATATAAAATTTTGATCATCTTTTGTGGCCCAATCCTATATAGGGTGAGTTCACCATGCATCGGACACATACCTTGCTTCGGACAACTTGAAGCAATAAACTTTCATTGAACCTGAGTCTCCCCGTGTTTTTACTTGTTTCTGTCTTAAAGGTAAAGATTTAAACTTTTTAATGATGCCGATTTTTATTTTCATGTTGTGATAAAAATACCACAAGAATGGCCTTGAAATTACATCATATTTTGCTTCATCAAAGGGGAGTAACCAGAAATTTACGATTTTGCAATTTTTAGAGTTGTCGTTCTTTTAAATAGATGTCAACGGAACGGGTCGGACCTAGGTAAAATTTATCAATAATTGATAATTTTTCAGAAATTTTCAAAAATTTTACTTCAATGTTTGTATAATATTTGTTAGAGTTGTTTTTAACAAGTATGTTTATTTCACCGTACATCGGACACAAATTAACCATGCATCGGACACTTTCCGATGCATGGGTGATCACTTCCATTTTCATATAAAACCCAAATGACAGCTATTTTTTGCGGAAATAGAAAATAAAAACTCTGAATTTTAAGTGAAATACAAGATATCGATATATGACGACTAGAAGTGGACTCAATTTATTTCTTTAAACTAGATGATGATAACCCACGAGACAAAGGCGCGAGTTGCCATATTACTTGCATTGTAAAGCCTTTCTAAGGCGATGTGATGCACCTAAAATCTCTTCACATCTGTGGATCAAAATAGTCATTCAAATTTAACTAGAAGTTTAATTTTTTAATAAAAGATAAAAATGTTTCGATATCACTAATTTTAAAGCACCGAGATCAAGGTATGATATTTTTCTGGTTTAAATACCGTATGTCCGATGCATGGTGAATATTGTTCGATCCATGGTGAATTCTGACTTATTTCGAAAAAATCGGGTTTTAATGATATTTTCTCTATAAATAGCACACGATTGTGTCAAAAATTTATATTTTAACCACATACTACATGTTAAGTTCCATTTTGATAATATTCGGTTGGTAGCGATATCGCTAGAACTTGTTGAAGTGCGAGGGTGTCCGATGCATGGTGAATTCACCCTACAGGGGCCATGATTTGATCAAAAAATGAATCTTCACTACCAGAGGATGCTTCAACATTAATATGATTCATCATAGCTTTGCTGTTCTTGAATAGAGGAGATGTAAAGATTTTTCAATATCTTAGTTCTTGATAAAAAGATTTTTTAAGGGGGCCTGGACACAGTTGCATAGCCTTTTTGTTTACAATTTTAAATTTCTATTTTTATTCAAAAAATAATCAATATTAAATAAATTGAACTTAAATGATAATTTCTTCATAACATCATATCAAAATATCTGTGTTTGTATACATGGGCATGAGTGCTGTTATTTGTTAATGTTTACATTTTACAGTAGCACGGCCTAACAATACTGGTGAGTTGTGTTTGCTTAATTCTCACATATCTACTGTGAATTTTCTGGATTAAAGTTTTATTTTTTCACTAATTTTCCTCTTTTCTAAAATATTAAGGATAAATTTACTTCATGAAAGTGCATGGATGTGTGTCAATCAATGCATCTCATTTTATTCATTCCCAGATAAAAGAAGTTTTTAAACACACTTTTATAAAATTTCGGTGTGAAATGCTCTGAAAATATATGTCATGATATTATATTGAAAATTTTAAAAAATTTCAAATCTGTGTCCAAGCCCCTTTAAAGATTTTCCTATATATTTCAATGTAAAACTTTCATTCCCTATTGTGGCCCAAACCTACCCCCAGGGAGTATGATCTGAACAATTTACAATCTACACTACCTCAGGAAGCTTTCAACTAAATTTCATCTGGTTTAGCAGTTCTTGATGAAAAGTTTTTTCCTGTACATTTCAATGTAAAACTTTGATTCTCTGTTGTGTCCCCACCCTACCTCTGGGGGTTATGATTTGAATAATACACAATCTACACTACCTTAGGAAGCTTCCACATAAGATTTTACTTTTCTGATCCAGTGGTTCTTGAGAGGAAGATTTTTAAAGAATCCCATCCTATTTTGCCTTTTCTTGATTATCTCCACTTGGAAGGGAGCTTGGCTCTTCCTTTTTAACAATTACGGTAAGAATCCCCTTTACCAAGGGTTGCTTTGTACCATCTTTGTTTAAAACTTGCCCAGTGGTTCTTAAGAAGAAGTTGAAAATTTGAGAAGTATACAGACAAATGGATGGAAGCTGGACAATGGTCGATCAGAAAAGCTCACTTGAGCTTTCAGCTCAGGTGGGCTAAAAAGCATGCATGCTCCATCTTATAATCCTGATAGCAGACAAGTGTATTGGCAGAAAGCTCAGTTTTCAATTTACAATTTTGGCAATTTTCCTGCCACCCTAATATCTTTTTTAAATAATAAACATAAAAGCCACAAAGAGAGATTTACCAGCATTTCTTCAAAACATTTATAAAATATTCCTATTTTCACATTACAACATGAATTTATGAAACTTACCATCTTCAGTAATTAATAGAATGTACAATGCACTCATTTAATAACAAGCAAGAAAGCACAAAATATTGCATTGATGAAAGCTGATAAGAAATTTGTATGCTTTTAAAAGCATATTTATGTTTTTGAACATTTTATTTCCAATTTTTACCGTTATTTATACAACAGTATAATTATACAAGTACATCCCTACCTTCATTATCGGCTGTTATCCGTGTGTTAGTAATTGATAGAAAAAAAAGAAGTGCACTTATTCAAAGGAATGACTGATAAAAGTATATACAGTATACAACGTGAATATATAGACGTATATGTCTTATTTTTCAGTAAATTGAGAAGGATATATCAATTACTACTTCAATTTATTAATGCCTGTAGATTTAGTCAACCACAGGGTATACATACATAGACAGGACATTATTCTTAGAAAGCACCGAGTTTTAAGTGTAGAAATATGACATCTTTTATTATTAAATACATTTAAGTGTACCTTTGAACAGCTAGGATAGGTAATTTTTACTGAATATGTAAATTATAATCTGTATGTGACAAGACTCTTAGATAAGCATCTATGAATTTACTTTGAACCCTATGTATTTAATTCTAGGATTATGAATGCCATAGGTTGACTAAAATTAGACAATGTATTTTATCTGATAAGATATTACTGGAGATCTTTTTTATGAAATATTAATCCACACCACATAGAAAATCCTTTAGATTATGATCTTACCTTCTTCATCAACTGTTTGATTTTTAGTCTGAAAAAAAAAAATACATACATGATAAAAAATAAAGATAAAAAAAAATTGGTTAAAAAACCACTGTAAACCAATTTTTCTATCCTTGTATTAACCTTCATGAGTTTTGTAAGGAGAGGGAAATATTGAAAGTCTGTCAAGTTAACAGACCTGTTTACCCAAATTGTTGTCTCTCAGTATTTTTCATTAGATTTGTCAGTGAGATTTGGCATTTGCCCGTAAGATTTCACTTTTCATCGAACTGTACATATATTACTAGAAAACAGCTACATTTCTAATTACCAAAATATGGTTTATTTACAAAGCAAAACATCATACCCTGCCTTCTTTTGAGTGATTTCTGTCATTTTTTAAACCACCGCGTTTTGGCAACTTAAATGTTTGAAATTTTTATTTTTTTTTTTTTGCGATTAAAAAGCGTCAAACTAAGACAGATAGCGAAAACTACTTGCTAAAATCCATATGAACGGATTTCCGTATTTTCGTAATAGCAAAACGTGAGACGTATTTTGGACTGAAAATCCGTACAAAATACGGCGAAATCATAAGAGTAAACAGGTCTGAGTTAATGAGAATATTAAGTACATGCAGGGTTGTCCCTAAAAATTAAAAATAGCAGATGACATAAAAAAAAGTAGAAGGGGGTCTCAGGTTCCTCCTTTAACAGGGGAATTAGAAGGAATACCAGAGTAATGATGTCATTAAAGGCAGGGAAATTCCCGGCGCCCGGGTATTAGGGACAGCCCTGGTACATGTATATATCCTAATTGCTGCATGTCAAAAACACAAAGAAAACTTGCAACATAGGATTAATGAAAACTGCAATTATAATAAGGAGGTACAGTAAAGGCTATAGGTTTTATTTTTTTTTTAACACTGGACCACTGATAACTTACAAGAAATCAAAACAATGCAATATCTGATACTCAGCAAGATTAGTTAAAAAAAAAAAAAAAAGATCCTGACCTGCATGTTGACGAGTGTGGCATACACGCCTCCTTTCTGCATCAGCTGATCGTGAGTTCCTTTCTCTACGAGCTCCCCCTGTTGGAACCCCGCAATCTTGTCAGCAGTTTTTATTGTGGACAAACGATGAGCAACAACAATTGTGGTCCTACCAGCTCGAGCCTACACGGAAAATTACAAAATCATTGTGTGTTCACTGAATTTAAGAAATTTTGAAGCTGTAAGATTGTAATAAGGATAATTTTTGTAATTTTTTTTTACCAAACCTTCCTCACAGCGATTATTATTTAGAAAATCAGTAAATCAGATTGATCAATAAGTAAAATAAAGTTTCTCCTTTAACAAAATCAGAAAACATTTATCCCCATGCATTTACTGTATACACAGTTATTTTTGCCCACTGTAATTTTAGCCCTTAATTTCAAACTTGAAATCAAATTTGCTCCATTTTAGATTTGCCCATACACAGTTGTAATTAAAAGAAATGCTGTTTTCTTCGAATTCACCACATTTTTAAATTCACCCATTTGCCATGAGGGCGGAAGGGACAAAAAATCAACTGTTTTGACAATTTTCCTGTATACAGTATAACCATATTCACAGTGTTCTGCTCCTCACTGACTTTCTCTTATACCTTGTCTAGAGCCTCTTGTACCACAGATTCACTTTCAGAGTCCAGGGCTGAAGTTGCTTCATCCAGGAGGAGGATTCTGGGGTCTCTCACTAAAGCCCGGGCAATAGCGATCCTCTGTTTTTGTCCCCCACTCATCTGGGCACCGCGCTCTCCAACCAAGGTATCATATTTCTACCAAAATGAAATATGGAACTACATTCCAATAACTATTACTTGTTTTTCAGGTTGGTAAATTGAAAAATGTTATGAATAAGTATATTAAAAAAAGTGGATGCTCTCCCTTACATCGGGAAACTTCATGATGAATTCATGAGCGTTTGCCATTTTGCAGGCAGCCTGTATCTCCTCATCAGTAACACCTTCTTTCCCATAACGAATGTTCTCTGCAATTGTTGTGGCGAACAATACTGGCTCCTGACTCACAATTCCAATGTGTTTTCTAAGCCATTTCAAATTCAAAGTCTTCAAATTATTATCATCCAAACAGACCTGTGGAAAAGAAACCAAAGAAATCTCAAATAAAGCACACATTTATGGCTTGTTAGCAACTGCAAATACCTGCAGGTGGTTGTTCATCTAGAAAAAAATAATAAAATTCTCCTGTCACAAAATCCCATCTCCATTAATGATAAACAATTTTTTAATTATAAAATTAGGTTATATAAGTCATTTTTTATTTCCATGGAATTTTGGCGCTTGGAAATCATTGTTCTGACTAAGTCTAAAATATACATACCGTATAACGGGTATTTTCTGCGGTTGGAAATTTTTGCGATTTAACCCCTAAAAGGTAGCAAATTAATTTCTGCGTTTTCAATTTCTGCGGTTGCATTATACCGCAAAAAATATATACTGGGTATGATCACCAAACTCTAAGAATTATCAGATAGCTGCCATGTTTACGTTTTATAAATTCATTGAGACATATTGATCAAAGGTGCATGAGAACTGGTATTAAGCTATTTAGCTTAATTAAACTACTATCTTTTAGTTAGTCTTTGTACAATTATGTCGAGTCCCAATTGAAATGAATTATTACAGTATCAGTCCACCCAAATAACAATAAAAATCTTTATTCTACATTGTAACAAACGTTTTATGCGATCTATTAAGATATTTAAATATATAGATAATTAATGCATCCAAGCCATATTCTAAAAATACACTTATAGTTAATTGCCATCAAAATTAACCTGGTGTTTATATTTTAAGCTCAAACAAACAGTTGCATAATCAAGTAACCTAAAGTTGACCCTATATAATCGCAGGTGCCATGTGCAATGAGGCGTAACTAATCCTGTCAGTTGTCTGCATTGAGTGAAATTCACGAGACAATCAAGCCACATTGTGTATACAAGCAGTAATTATGGTCTCAAGATAAAACACAAGATTGAAAAAAAGTGTTAAAGGAAGAAAGAAAAGCTAATATGTGTTGTTTGCAGCTATCGGAGTTTGGACGAATAATTGCGAAATCTCTTTTAGTCATTTACATGTAGGCCTACATGCATATCCCTATAAAATAAAGAAATAGGTACAAGAAAAGATCTTTTGTATAAAATTATTAAATTGATATTATTTACAGGAACGTTTTGATTCAATATGTTTTGGACAAATCCTGAGTGACATCTAAAATCTTCAACTTTCGATGACACCCGAATATTCTCGCTAACGAGGACGTGTCCACTCATGAGTCTGCGGACGCATCGTTTTTAAGAACCTTGCGTCCCAAATAATTTTGCTGCGTCCAGTACGCAGCTTCTTGCGTTAATGAGAATCCTGTGACATACGCACAACTTATCATACTTGCATGTATAAAATATATATCTGAAGAAATATTGAAAAATATTTTGCGATTGTAATTTTTGCGGATTTGTCCTATCCGCAAAATTCCGCAAAAATTGGACAACCGCAGAAAATACCCGTTATACGGTATTCTTTACTCTTTAGAGATGAAACTCTATTGTGTGATATTGATCACAGCTGGATAATTTGATTTACCTCCCCTTCCTCTGGATCATAAAACCTCTGAATGAGTTGTATGATGGTACTTTTGCCACAACCACTTGATCCTACCAGGGCCACAGTTTCCCCTCTGTTGATCTCTAGTGACACACCTTTCAAAACCTGAAGATATAGTGAAAATATTTCTTAAATACATGTATCAAAAAGAATAAATGATTCAAAGTACAAATATTCAATCTTGACTAAAAAATTCAATCTAACCTGCACTTCCGGTCTTGCCGGATATCGGAATTTTACATTCCGTAACACCACATTCCCCGTGACCCCATCAGGTTTTAAGCCATCATCACTGGAAGAATCAATTTCTGGAACCTAATGGAACGAAAAAATAGATAATTTTTACAGATTTTTCTGACCATCAATATCCTTGTAGGCTTTTTGTTCAAGAAAAGCATGAATGAAAGTGAAACAGTTCTTATTGCATTTAGTGTATTGTATATGATATAGAGGAATGAACAAAAATACATTAAAAAATAATGGCTGGATGGTGACTCCTGCCTTACTAGTTAGGTGCTCTAACCAAATAGTTATCCAAGCACGATATACACATCTATACTACTACTGAAGTATCACCACCTTATCTCACCTGCTGGATTAGCTGAAACACAGTATAAGCTGCTCCTCTGGCCTCAGAGAATTTCCCCAGTGGGGGCGTGGCATACCCCAGAGCAAAGGCTGATATCATTATGCTGAAAAACACCTATAAAAAAACAAATACACAAAGAACTATAATGATCAAAACACTCAAGGCAATACATGTGTCATCATAACAAGCAGGAAAGCTACTAGTAGGTGGAGACCTAAAAAAAATTACAATTTGGACATTCCCATATAGAGAATCTTAATTTGCTTCTTTATCATTAGTATAAAAAGTATAGCTGCATGTGTAAACTTACAACATGGACACACTTTATAAAATTTTACCCAGTTTAACATTCAATCAAAAAGTCATGCTAAAATGAATTGCTGTTTTCTTTGAATTTGCTCCAGGTTTTACTTTCCCCCTCTGTCAAGAGGGGTGAAACTAGGGTGAAAATAAAAGGAGGGGAGGTTGAAAAATTCCTTCTTTACAGTACATGGAACAAAATTTGTAAACTTACAATGAGGACATTCACTTGAATCAACACTGTAAACTTACAATGAGGACATTCACTTGAATCAACTCTGTAAACTTACAATGAGGACATTCACTTGAATCAACACTGTAAACTTACAATGAGGACATTCACTTGAATCAACTCTGTAAACTTACAATGAGGACATTCACTTGAATCAACTCTGTAAACTTAGTACAATGAGGACATTCACTTGAATCAACAATGTAAATTTACAATGAGGACATTCACTTGAATCAACTCTGTAAACTTACAATGAGGACATTTCCTGGGGTGTAGTCACTGTCCTCTCTCACCAATTTGGCTCCGTACCAGAAACCAAACCCATAAACAGAGAAGATGATGAAGTAGATAAGACCCATAGAGAACCCGACAGTTAGACCCTTTCTGATTCCGGTCTTCTTGGCATCACTCAGGTGTTTGTTGTATCTAGTAAAAACAAATTGTAAAAGCTCCTTGTTTTTTATTACATGAAGAAAATAGTAGTGAGAATTTTTCAAGAATTTAACTATTTTTACTTTTATTGTACAATGAAAAATTAAAGACAAATTAAAACTGAAATGTAAAACCACAATAGCACAAGAATTAATTGAAGGAGAGGACACTTTTAACGTGTTTACTTGCTAAAATAAAGTATCAAAAACAGCCCAAAATGTTTCAAACAAAGATACCGTAGTGAAATGTTGGTATTGGTAAGAATGTGGGATTTTAAGCAACACCAATGTTCTGAACAAAAATATGTCCAACTTTATTTCATAACATCTTAAGTCATGAAAATGTGTCCAGATTATTGAATTAAATGTGAACTCAAAACCACAAGTAAATGATATGACCTTTGTTTTTCTACACTTTTTCTTTCAACTTTTAATTTTATGACAACTGAAATAAAAGTTTTTGAATGTCTCTTAGTATACCTTGTGGGAGGGAGGAGAGAGTACCTGGAGAGGACCCACCCACCTGTCACATTCTTTGTCTTGTCCCCCAAAGGCGACCACTGTTCTGATAGCACCTAGAACCTCATCAGCTACGGCTCCTGCTTTGGCATATGCATCCAGACCCTTGGAAGACGCTGCTGTGATCAGCTGATGAAGATCAATTAGAACTAGTTAACTGTATTGAACTCAAAATCTGTTTACAATGTATGAAGGTTTCATAATTATGGCTACCATAATATACTTCTAGGATTCATATTGTAGTACATCTTCAAGAAAATACTTAACAATTGGGTTTTTTTTTCACTCCGCTAAATTATTGTCAAAAAAAGTCTATTATTTAACAATGATTAATTGTTATCTTGCTAAAATTTGCGGAAAATTTCCTTTTAACACATTTATTAAATTTTAAATAAATCTCTAAATGTAAGTTTAAAGGTGCTCAGACACAGATTTGAACTTAATATTTTCTCAAATTTTCTGTATAATATCACGACATATATATTGCAATAGCATTTCACACGAAAATATAATTAAAGAATTATTTTATCTGGAAATTATTGAAACTACGAATTCTGGGATGTGTTTGATTAACACATCTCTGCACTTACACAAATTTTAACTTTATCCTTAATATTTAAGAAAAGAAGTGATTTTGCTATGTAATAATGAAAAATATTACATCTATAATCCAGAAAATTCAGAAGAGAAATGTTCGAAAGCAAAACCAACTCACCAGTATTGTCAGTCCGTGCTCTGTGATGTGTAAAGAGTTTAACAAATTGAACACACCAGTGAAACGTAAACTGTTTTTGTAAACAGGGCACAAGCTCTGTTATTGTTAATGTTTATGATTCACTGGGTGTGTTCAATTGTTAAACTCTGCACACACCACTGAGCACGGACTTACAAAATACAGTGAGTGGGTTTTGCTTTCGAACATTTCTACTACAGTGCCCACTGCCCAATCCGACAACTGTGCAATCCGGCACACTGGACTTTCCGACCTCATATTTTATTCCCAAAAAATTCTTTAAATTTTATATAGAACAAAACACTGTATATTCCGACCACTGTACATTCCGAATTCCGGCGCTTTTTTGTCATCAAAACTAGATAATTACATTATGATTTCGCCTGGGTAATCCGACATAATTACACGGGTGTTCCGTAATTAGCCGCAGGCCAGGTGACATGAATGCCCCGTTTGGCCACAAGATTGGTCTACTTAGAGAGTAGTTAATTACATGTAAGTTTGAAAGTGTTTATGTTAGTGTTAAATGATCAGTTTTTTTATTAAAAAATTAGGCAATCAATTCTCTTTGTTGTTATCAGTTTTATTCTCGCATTCACGCGACAGAAAATAAAAAGAGTACATGATATTTTGATTACATTAAGATTTTTAGCTTGAAATTAAAATCAAACATGCAGTCAGTCCTTCATAAAGCCATGCCCCGAAAAAAAAAGAGTACGGCGAACGTAACATGTAGACAATACACAAGTTGAATGGTACATCTTGTCTAAAAGAAAAAGTTTCATTTCAGGGTTAATATACACTGAATTAAGCAAGGCTGTGCACATAAAGGATTTGCCAGAAGCAAAAATACCGCTTTAAGTTGCCCATTAAATTATAAAATATTACGATTGTTTGATAAAAAACACAATGTTTTAGAGTTACGTCCGGTTGGTATGAAAAGTCGCGTGACGGTATTAATAGCACAGTCTATATTGAGAAGTAAACAGTGGAGAAAATTCGGAGAGAAATGTAGTGTAGAAAAAAAAAATACCACTGTGTAAAGAAGGTACATGTAAACGAAATATTTACTTAACCATCTACTGCTTTAGTAAAATGCTAAAAATTAAATTGCAACATCTCGAAGCGATCGGCAGTTGTTTTGTCCATTAGAAAAAGAAACATCGTATATTACTACAGAGTTTACTAATGCTCAAAGAAATGCTAATTAACGAAGGTATATTTTATACAACAAAGAAACACACAATTATGCAAACATTTTGACAATGAAATACACGTGTACTCTAAACCTAATGAAAAATGGTTTTTGAAGTCATTTGACACCAATCATAACGCTCAGAAATATTCAACACTGGGTAATCCGACACACTGTCTAATTCGACATTGATTTTATTTCCCGCAGCATGTCGGATAAGACAGGTTTCACTGTATGAATTTTCTGGGTTATAGTTTTAATATTTTTCATTAATACACAACAAAATTGCCACTTTTCTTAAGTATTAAGAATAAATTTAAAATATGTGAAAGCGCAAGGATATGTCAATCCAATGCATCCAGAAATTCGAAGTTTTAATAACTTCGAGATGAAATAAGATTTTTATTATATTTTAGTATGAAATGCTATAGCAACATATAAGTCATGAAATTATACAGAAAATTTGAGAAAATATTAACTTCAAATCTGTGTCCAAGCACCTTTAAGAGTAATCTCTTATCACGTACACATTGTCACCACAAACTGATCTTAGTGGGGCTCAATACATAGGTCTGTTTCAAAGAATTGATTCTACTGCTGGGAAACATTTTTTTTTCTTCAAGAAATTGACAATACACAGGCATCAATTGGTTATAATACAACATTTAACTTCTTAACTTGCATTCTATTACTGTGCAATCAAATTTTAACTATACCGTGCATTGTCAGGTCAGTTTGAGTTGCCAATAACAATTATATTTACCTTGTCCTGGATGAGAGCTGCTATCACAATGAGTGGACTGAAGGCCAGGATGACCAGGGTAAGCTTCCAGCCATACACAAAACCGATAACCACCCCGGTAAGGAAGGAGGAAAACCATTGGAAAAAGATCCCCATCTTGTCCCCGATACCGGTCTGGATTTTATTGACATCACTAAAGACAAAAAATATTAAAGTACATGTCTGTATATTATGTTCTATATTCCATCTAGTTTTTAGGGGAAAAAAAAATATTAATGTAGACAAATTTGTGAAAAGAAAATTAACAACAGCTGTAAAATAATTTTGTCATATTGAAATCTTTAATCATGAATTGATTGCCAGTTACCCAGACAGTCTGGTATTCAGCTCCCCGGAGTCATGTGTATCAAACCAGCTAATCTCCTGTCTCATGATGTTCCTAAAGAAGGCGATCCTAATCCTGTGTGTCTGTCTCTCAGCCGCTGTCACCCAGCAGGCTAACTGACCATACCCAAAAATAAGGACGCCTCCCCCAATGCCTTATGAATAAAGATAAATTTCATCTCAGTTCATATGGATTTATTTTCTATGTCTTACAAACATTAAAATTCTAATTTATTACCAAATATAGCCCCTTAATGGTTACATATACAAAATTAAAGCTATTAACAGTAACAGTTATAATGTTACATGTAGTTTCTTTTTGCATTTTAATCATTTTAAACAACTCATGCACTAAAAATAAATGTTAATCAATAACCTCCTCTGAAGATCAATAAATTTCTCGTTACATTCATAATCAGTGGAATCTGCATATTGCTATTTTTAACTCTATTGGTAATTCTAGTATTTACGTACCTATGTAATAATAAACAAAGACGGTCATAGTGTCCAGCAGATCCTCTGAAATAGCTTTGTCCAGGGAGCTGAAATCTGTCACATTATACGGAGCGGCCGCCAGAGCTGTTTTGTGTGAGCTACAATATCAAAATATGGGTCAGATTTTATTTCAGGGAGATAATATTAGAAAAATATTTTGATAAAATAAAAGGATTAGTCTTCTTATAGTCTGACTGCTATAAGTGAACTTTAAAAAAATATTAAAAGTACTTTTTCTAATTGCAATGCACAGGGTTGTCCCTAAGACCCAGGGGCTGGGAAATTTCCCCAACTATAATAATGTAATCGTCCTGTTATTTTGGTATTCCTCCTAAACTCTGCTTTAGGGGGGGAACCCCAGATCCCTGTCTACTTTTTAAATGTCCCCTTCTTTTACAATTCTTAGGGACAACCCTGAATGCAACATTAAGAAAGGTGAAAAAATGCAATGGACCAGACAAGGATTTTAAACACCCCCCACCTTCCCCTTATGGACTTAATAATTGCTCCAACAACTTAGCCTTATAATTCATCTAGAAAAATAATGCAGGTCGTGCAAATCTAGCATCTGAAACAAGTATAACAGTGTCGTCCTTTGATGCATCATCCATGCATGCAAGTTTGGTCCAGGTAGGCCTTATACAGTGCAAACCGTCTAATCCAACACCTGCACAATCCATTTCACCATGAATTCTGACCTTCATTTTCATTCCCATTTTCCGTGTTCTTTGCATGTGTAGTCAGAAACCCTGTCTCTCCCAACACAAATTTTGTTTCCCAATTAATGTATGTAGGATTAGACAGGTTTCATTGTAGTTATTTATTGGGAATGAACTTGTCCCTAACTTTAACCAGGATGTTGAAGCTAATGCCAACAATAGTGGTAGAAAATGCACATTTGTTAGTATTTGCTGCTGAATATGTTATCTAAATTAATACAAGCATTCTGAGAGTATTGCATGAGCAATACTAGTCCCCTACCGGCAAGTGTAATCTGGTTCTGTTCCCGTTAAGAATTGAAAATGCCATAATTCCGTCAAAAATTAATGAAGCGGGACGAAATGCAAACTTGATCTATAACTAATCAAGGTAAAGCCACATACCAAAAATCAGCTCAATATCTACAAGCGTTTAGAAGAAAATTGCGGAAAACCCGTAAAAATTGAAAAGGCCGTAATTCCGTCAAAAATCAATGAAGCGGAACGAAATGCAAACTTGATCTGTAACTCATCAAGATACACTCACATACCAAAAATCAGCTCAATATCTACAAGCGTTTCGGAAAAAAGTGCGGAAAACCAAGTGGGACAGACTGACAGACAGACAGAGGGACAGACAGACAGACAGACAGACAGATGGACAGACAGACAGACAGACAGACAGACGGATGGACAGACTCAGAGGAAACCTATAGTCCCCTCCGGTTTCACCGGTAGGGGACTAATAATGAGGAATAATGATAATGATCGTGGTATTGATAATGATGACCAGATAAATGAAAATGATATTGAATACTGTATACAGGGTTATATTCGCCCTGTGTTATTTTTGCCTTCTCACACTTGCAAACAATTTTGTCTCATTTTAATTTCACCCAATCAAAGTTCTGTTTAAAAAGTTATATAATTTTCTTTGAATTCGCTCCGTTTTAAATTCGCCCGAGAGTTAAAGGTGAAGGGGCAAATATAAAACAGAGGCAAAAAATTTCCCTGTATACAGAATAATGATGATGATGATGATTGTGCTTTTAACAATGATGAATATTACATGTATTCCATTGAAAATGATGATGATGATTATATGCCTTGACACTGATGATGAAAAAAATATAAAAATGAGTATGCAAATGATGATGCAGATGATGATGATGATGATATTACCTGAGAATAGAAGGATTGGCTACAGCCTGATTAATGGTGATTCCAACACTTGCCAGATAAGCTGATATACTTTGAAGCCAGTTATAATAGATCCCTGAGTTGACAAAGGTGTCTGTCATATCTCCGAACACGATGATCATACTGGGCAGGGCAGCTCCATGACAGACTGCACAGAACGATCCGAAGATCATCAAGAAATAATCAAAGCATGTTCCGTACTTAAACTGTAATAGAAGTCAGAAATTAAGTTATTTATGAATGTACAACAGAGACAAAGTAGCACATAAGAAATTCAATTTTAGACTTTTATTGAAAAGAATTATTGTTGGACTACTGTAGTGTCTGACATATACTTTTTTCAGCATGGGATTAATTGACCCTATGTATGCGATCACAAATTTGTCACAGCATACATAAAGTGCATTTTTGACATACAATGGCAATTCAAGAAATCTACATAAATTTTCTACTGAACATAAATTGTGGTTCTGCAGAATTATGTCCCCATGAAAAAAAGTATGTTTACAGTGTTTGAATACACTATAATACTAGTGCAAAAATCCTTATATGTTTTATTCTAATGCTAATATTTAATTTTTGCCACTATTTAATTGGATTGGCTACATAACCATGGTTCACATTATAGTAAAAATGTAATATTTAGAATTTCACTCTTGTCCTACATCACCTACTGCATTTCCTAACCTCTGAACACCACTTACTATTTCTAGAGCCCCAACCATTTTTTGTTCTTCTTTCTTTTCTTCTTTCTCTCCATCCTTCTTACTCTCACCATCCTCTTCAACTTTTCCATTTGCCAATTCTTTATTTGCATCTTTTGTATCTATTTATACAAGAAAATACATAACCATAAATGTATGCATTGCCTCTACTATGTCATTCTTCAGAATACCTGCAAAGATGCACCCCTTGTAATTGTCCAACTCCTGAAAAAAGTATAAAATACTGACACACAATAATTAAGTTTTTATTTCTAATCAAGAAAATGTGCCCTTAGACTAATACACATTTAAGTTCTTTAGAATTATCAATATATAATCTTTTAATGCTTAGAACATGAACTGACGTCACTTCATCTAACATGGAATGGGATGGTTTTCTTAAATCCATCTAAATTGCTTTAACATATTAGTCATATATGCATGCAGTCCATCAATATTATCCATGTAAATATGCATAAAATAAGTGGAAAATCAACATCCATTATAATCTACTGTAATTATTGTTAATTCCTAAGAGATATAGAATTATTTATATAATCAGTGGTAGAGAAATGTAAAAAAAAAAATGTCTACAGCTGCTTACTTCCAGACATGATTGAATTATAAAACTCCTAAACCAGTAGAAAATCCGAATTAATCCAACTACATAGGGGAACAGAATAAAATCACACAGATCTAGAATAGGTTATAGTTCTACACGGAAATCCATAAAATTAGTGAAACAGAACAGTCATAGATGAGGAAACTACAGGTTCAAGATCTAGTACACTGGTCTATAATTATCCAGTATAACAGTACGTAAATCAATACCCGAGATAGAAATGAACTAACTAAGCATACATGGATCCTCTCAATAACAAGGTTATGATTTACTGATGTCATAAAAAAAGTCACTATGTTAAATGTAAAATTTATTACAATGCAATGATCAATTGCTGGCTTGTAAAAACCTATAGAATGCATATCTGATTGTGCAATTTTTTCCTTCCGCAGGTAGTTTGAAAATAGGTTTTTTATGGGTGGTATATAAATCTCAGGTGAGGGCTTGGCTATAGAATCTCCTACAGGAAATAAAGTGATCTACCTGTAATCGAGGAAAAAGCCATTAAGTCATCAGTTTACAATCCAAAATACATTATAAAAGATCCATGTTTTAGTAAGTGTTATTAATGATCATTACTGTAAACCAACTATTATTCGAGTCATCTTTTATTCGTGATTCATCAGTTTGAAATCAATTAGCGATGATTAATTTTCATGACTGAGGAAATATTGTTTATGAGAATTTAACAAAGCAAAATTAAATGGTTTACGGCGATTAATATTCGCGAGTTTTAGTAGGTTGCAAAACTCGCGGAATTATTTCTCGCACACGAATAAAAGTTGGTTTACAGTATTCCCTGATAGAGAAATTCTTAGCACAGTGTGCCATTGTAACTTAATCAAGTAAATTTTTAGTAAGTTCTTTTCTATACTTCAATATGATTTTAAAATAAAAACAGAATAGAACATAAGTATACAGAGACAACATGAAATAATAGATCTCTTAATGAAGTCTCCAAAGATTAAAGAAGGCAAGATCAACAATAACAGGGATCAGTTGGCATGGAGGAGTAAGCATCCCCTGTTGACTGGTCGCACCCACTGTGAGCCATCCGTATTGACAGGAATCAAGTATTCACTATTTAAAATAGATATGAAAACAATGACTTAACAATTGGTATTATTTTTTTTTACCCTGTACTTTATGGTAAAATAGAATTTTAATTACAGTAACTGATATAAAGCAAGATTAGACATGCCTGGTAATTAATTCACTAAAACTGTTTTTTACTGTAGGTGTTCATGACAAATCAAAGAAAAAGTCTAACGTAAATTTTCTTTGTGGTACTAAAATCCCAGCCTTAAAAACCAAGAATATATTGTAGGTCATTAATTCCACAAAATTCTCTTCTCATTAATGTCCTGCAAAATTTTCATGGAACAATACTGATCAAACACTACATGTCTCACTTAGGCTATTTAATTCTATTTTTCAAGAACAAGTGTATGTTGAATATCAAATCACTGATAAATGTGTCATATACATGTTTATACTGTGTACATATATATACAAGTCAAGTCCAATGTCAGAACCCGAGTTAGGCCTATTTTGTCCAGGATATGAATTGTGTGAATACCAGACCAGACCTGCCCACCCAAAACAAATTTTTTCCTTAGTTTTCTATTGATTTGTCCGAAAGATTTGACATTTTCACAGAAGCTTTTGTAAATTCAATGCAGAATTTAAGTGAATCGATCAAATTAATCATCACTAATCATTGTACACACAAGATCTGTCTTTATATTGACTTCAAAGTAATGACATTGTTATTAGACAAACAGAAGTACTGAATGTATTCTTTTAAAACGATTCTTAATCTTGATACCTGTGTGTGTATATTAATTTGGACATTTAGTCATTATAATTTAAATATGTACATAGCTTGTCAAAATATTTTAACTATAATAATTAAAAGCATCTGACTGCTAAGTACTAATCAACTTATAGAGCCGTTGACTGGCTGGGAAAAGGATGTAGATATCTGACTGGGATTTGACCCCCACCCCCCATTTTATGAATCATTGTGCAGATTATTGACCCAGTGAGCAAGTGACCATGTCCTAAAATCAGGTCTTCCTAATTCTTTTTAGGCATCAAAGTGATGCATTACCCATAGAAACCTTTCCAAATTAAAAAGCTAATGTATGTGCCTCTTTCACCTTCAAACAAGTAGAACAAAGTGAAAAATATCTAATACACCAGATTTCCTATAGCCACTGAGGTCGGGAGAGAAAAGTGCAGGTAAATTCTACAAGAAAATATATCTTCTACAGTGCTATTACCATCTTACCATACTACAAAGACATGTTCATTCAGAATGAACTTTGACCCACCTTTTTTACCAATGGGAGGAAGGGGTGAAAAATTTTTTGTCTTTGGTTCGCCATCTATAAAATGTTGCAGGTATATTATAGATTTGATATCACCAAGTTTTAATTACCTTAATCATGTTAATGAATTAACTTTCTAAAAAAAAATTTCCAATTTTGAAATGACATAGATCAATATAATTAAGTTTATAAAGTCATGCATGTACATTATAAATATATACATTAAAATGTAAACAATATATATTTTAAAATTACTAATTAATGTATATAGTTTTACAGTTTGTGATTAGGTCAGTAGAGTTATGAATACATACAGTACAACAGGTTTACAGAGAACATGCTTACAACGAATTCATGATTATAGCAAAGTGATTTTCATTCCCTTTGGTTTTAAAACATTTCATAAAGTTTAACTTACAATTGCAACATATACATAAGTGAAATTACATTAATAATGAATTAAAATTGGTCCTCCCTGGCACTTTGCTATGAGCATGTTTTACTGTATATGAATTACTGGAAATTTAAACAACATCAACATGAAAAACAGAAAATTGTAGAGTTTTAAAATGAAATTAAATCTATATAACTTTAATTTCTTAAACATGAAAATTTGATATACAAGAATATTGAGAGCTATGTACTAACAACGGTGAGTTTACTAATATCAGAAAATTATACAGGAAATGTAGAGAGACACTGTCAAAATAGTCATAGTATTTTTGTTTATTTGTAAAATGTTAAGCATTTTTTCATCTCCTTAGATTCATGCCTCTGAAGAAATTCCTAATACCATAATTATAATGATATTAGTATATATAAATGTGATTAAATATAACAATTAATATATTACATATATAATTAATGAAAATATTGTATGTATTGTATAAGATTGTATTTGTTATTTTGATCCTTGTTTTGTACCACAAATTAAAATTTAAAATACAATTACGTAAATCAAATAATTCCATTTATCCCCCCCCCCCCCCAAAAAAAAATAAGACAGCAGATCAACCCAGGAACTCTCAAGTTCCTGACAGTTTTATTAGAGAAATAGAGTTATAATTTAGTAGATACTGTTAAAGACAGTTGTTAAATAAAGATATAAGGACAGAATCTTTTACATGCGGTCACTAACTAAAGCCTTTAGGACTAAAGGGTCATTCGATCTGCTTACCTATGGGTGGAAGGCTGGGATTTTTTATATCTGTACGTGGGGTGTCATTATCCATGGGTGGTAACTCTGATTTTCTCTTCATTGTTGTGTTCTCTGTTTTTATTGTAAAATGGTCATATTTTTTTTAAAGTAAAATTTCTTTAAAATTCTTCTCATTTTCAGGAAATGAAGTATGAAGAAAAAGGACTGATAATAAAGGATTAAAACATAAATGTCTCTGTTCTTCTTAGAATTAATTACAGTTCATCTTGGATTTGTTTTTCTGTTTGATTAATTCTCTTTTTTATTATCATGCTTTTTTTTTTTTAGTTTTCCAGAAAAATGAATTTTGTTTCAATTGTTTAACCCTAATTACATAATTACAAAACTTAATCAGTCCATAAAAAAATCTAATCTTTACAGTTTCATCACTTACTGTAACCATCCATTAATAGAGGGGTTTCTTCATAGATAATCCTTATACATATTTTTTGTTCTTTTCACATTGTATAGTTTAAACAGAAAAGCATGTACATGTAAGCATAATCTCAGACAGTTTTTGTGTACTAAAACATTGTACAAATTGAGTGAATAATTTTGCATTATGTATTACCACAAAAACTTGGGGGAGAAAAGACCGTTGTTGTTAGAATTAAGACAAAGAAATATCTCAGTTTTGGATACACATTAAGCTAAATAAATCATTATAAAATAGAAGGCATTCTTAGACAGTGCATTCTCTTTTTATTCACCTGTAACTGAATTATAGAAATTTGAGTTATCTTTCTTTGACGTCCATTTGAAGTTGTGGCACCTAGCTTCGATCTCCTCAAAATCTTATTAATTCTTCCTCAAACTTTGCCCCAATGCATACATTCTTATAGAATTTCAAATGTTTTAACGTGTATCAAATACAGACTCTGTTTTTCTTTCTTTTTTTTTTTTTTTTTTTTTTTTTACAAATACAGGTGATGAAAAAGTTACATTGGTGGAGATTTTAAAACCAAATATACTCACCATCAAGAGGTATCACTGTGTTGTTGAAATTTTTCTGCAACAAGAAAAAAAATTATAAGTGTCAAATATATACCAGATCCCAGTATTCTGGTATTAAAAAACTCTTGACTTAAATCATATTAAAACTTTAAACAACCTTAACTGAAGAAATTAATTGATATAATCATGATAATCAGATTATTTTTGAGTGACCCGCTTCCGTATAGGTACAGTTAATATTATTCAGTACCTCATTTTTTTAAACTTGCGTTATAGTAACACTGACTACGAATCAATTCTAATGTACTGAAACTGCCACCTGGCCTTCTTCACAAGTCAGCTACTATTTTATAAAAGAAGGAGCTAGTTTTGATCTGAATCTCTACAATTGGCTCATACATTCACCTCTGCCACTGGCTAGCGTATATCAGTGATTATAAGCATGAGAAAAAGTGAGCTTGTTTTAATTCATTATAATTTAATGCCTGGGCTAATGTTTATCCTCTAAGGTAGAAATTAACTTAAAGTAGATTAAGAACTATTAGTTTACTTTGAAATAAGCATTAGAATATCATGGGTTTTTTTTTTCATTTATGTCAAAAATCTTGACATGAGCCCATTGCAGAGAACAATAACTCTGCACAGGAGATTGGGTTTTGTTGTTGAAATAGAATGAACACAAAACCCATACATTGTAGCTTGCAACAATGTGAAATTGACAGTGACAAGATTGCAAGAACTGCATCTCTATCAAAAATACTAGATCTATACTGAATGACCCATGTAATCACACTTTACACCTCGCCGTTTTAGGAAAACAATTCACTGAAAGACATCAGGCTTAGCTTGCAGAAATTTGAATACCACCCCCATGCACCCCAACCCCTTTCCAGCTAAAAATATAAAAATACATTTACTCAACATCTAACCTACATGTAGCTGCGCTGTGCCAATTTTAATTTGCAGTTATCGATACCATAACACCGAAAGTACACAAGACTGACAAGTCAAATCATTATTTGCCATTAGACAAGCTAGATTCCAAATCGTCTTTCGGTAAAAATGCAAAGAATTTAGGAAATAAGTACTTCCATGCTTGATCAAGTTGATGTCTGCTTGTTTATGTCTATGTTGTGCAAACGCTTTAGTCCTAAACGTTTTGATGATCATGACAAGTCGTAACTTCCGACGCCCCCCCCCCCTTCCCCCATTTTACCATTTTATGTATAGACCCTCAAGCTTCCTTCGATTTTTATCTAATATAAAAACTATTTTGTATCGAAAGAATTCATACTAAATGTACTGCATTCATAGGATGAAAACCCTTTGTATAGAGAACAAAATTGATGGCTTAAAAAAAAAAAAATAAAATCATAATTATCTCAAATTCTCACTATCCACTTTCATTTCTTCAGTTCATACAACGTACTGTAGGCCTAAAAGAGGAGTATAAATATTAATGTTAGAAAAAGGGGACTCAAGCTTAATATACAGGTGCACAATATACACGATGTATCCACATCCAGCACTGAGCTGCTGAGCCAATGTAAGAATAGAATATTGACATTCAACATGTTCAAAGGCGGATCCAGCGCCACCCCTCCTCCCCCCCCCCCGTTTGATTTTTTTAAATTTTGTTTGTATACCAAGCATTTACCTTCAGTTTAGTCCAGTTTAGTCCCCCCCCCCCCCGTTTTATGAAATTCCTGGATCCGCCACTGACATTTGTTAGCCGGACTGAGGAAATTTTTAAATTTTAAAAGTATACGTATTAACTTGAAAGTATTTTTTTTACGAGAATGTTTCACAATCACCATGCATCAACAATGTGGATTTGATAGATTCATATATGTATAACTATAAAATGTACGTATTATCAGATTATATAGTGTTCCGTTATTGTACTTGATCTTGAACTGTATAACTATTCACATTATGACATACATTGATCAGTTGATTATACGTGAATACTATTAATTTTACCCCACCCCCAACCCATCCCCAGCTTAATTGTTAAAAAATATATATCTACTATACTAGTAGATATATATTTTTTAACAATTAAGCTGGGGAGTGCCTATGCCCCAACCCCCTCCACCCAATCTCAAAATCATTTCACACATTATACTTGGTACAATCCGTGTCGCTTAACTGTGTATATTAATTTTCCCTTTTGGTTGAAGGACAACGGGGGTGGGGGTTGTTGGATCGGTTTTTCTTTACTTTATAACTTTGACAGATGCCAAGTCTTCCACAACCAGCTGACAACGTAGGTGATTAATTTAATAGTGATTCACGAGCTTTTTTGTGGAAAAGGGGAAATCCCTAATCACTTATTTATATATTTATAGATATGTGATTATATAATACATTAAAATGGACACTGTATAGTACAGAACAGAACATGATTGCATTGCAAGCGGATATACAAGTTATATAACCCTGATAACAGTATATCAATCATATTAATTATTCATTCGGTCAATGAATAAAAAAAATCATTTTTAAATCACACTACCGATTTAAATACAAAGATAAGATAAACCAAAGGTATGCACAAACCTCTGCCATGCCGATGTATACAGTATACGACCCTTAAAATCCTTAGCGTATCCAAACGATTTCTGATCTCATTTCATAAAGTTTGATCACACGCGACCATTGGCCTGGGCTCTGTTGAAATACCCTATGTCCGGGCTATGGCTAAAGAATCCGTACACAATGTCAATTTGCCTTCGCAACACCTCAACTACTGCGTGTACTAGTTTTCAACCCTACTATAGAGAGTTTTACGTACAAGGCGATTCACAGCTGTTTGATCGGGTAGCCCTTTAAAGTGTTAATTGAATGCAAATAAAACAATGTCGCCGTAAAGCTGTCTATAATTCGGCTACAAGTAAATGTGTGTATTGATCGCCCTTTAAGTGATTTCGTAAACCCGCCTTAATATTCTTTTCTATCCCCAGTTCCCCGTAACATACAGTGGCGGATCCAATGGTTTCCTTTCTTCCCGAATTCCCGTAACAATGTTCCTTTTTTCCCAGTAACACTATAACAGTGCCGGATTCAACGATTTTTTGTTTTCCCCAGAGCCCTGTAACAGTTGGGGATCTAGGATGGAATGTCCCCATGCAGCCCGGCGCCAATTTAAATTGGTATTTTACTTGCAGACCCATGAATTAAGACCTTTCACAAATCACAATAAAATTCTACATGAATTTCAATGAAAATAAATGGATAAAGCGATTCCTGGTCATATCATATACACATATGCATGTATTTTAAAAAAAAAAACAACATCTTACAAATATTATACAATGCACGTACACGTAAATATAATCATATAGATATTGGAGGAGATTCAGAGTAAAATCCACGGGTGCTCGTGGACAGCCCCCCCCCCCCCTCCCCCATTATATAGTTGGATTTTTTAAAAACATGTACTATCTCATAAAATTAAATTATTTTTCCATACAGCACACATTTACAATGTGTTCCATGTGAAAATAAAAAAATGAAACAAAAACAATCCGTGGATTGTATAGATTTATGAAAAGGGGGGGGGGGGGGGCTGTTCACAAAAACTTTTTGACATGATTTATTCCAGGCCCTAAGACCATAAACTGAAAACAGAATTCAGTAAAAATTTCAAATAAGAATAATTTTTTAATTTAATTTAATTTAATTAAAAAACAGAATTTTCATAAGATGTCTTTGTATTTAAATATTATACACAAACATGCAAATATTTAAACATGCTTATATATTAATTTTGTTAAATGAAAATCAACATATTCAACATGTAAATGTCGACTTTAGTCAAAGTTCAGTTTACGGTTTTGAGGATATATATAAATTTCTTTTAATTTTAAAATGTTCTCAATTTAGAGATCACACATTTTTAAGAAATATTGCTGAAAAAACTTCAGTTTCCAATTAAGTTGCTCATTGTCAAGAACTTTAAGAATTGTGCTGTCTACATAGGTATTTATCGTCAAAGTGTATGGAACGCCATAGCTGCCTGAAGGTCATTTTCATTTTATATGAGGTGGTATAACCTTTATGTGAAGTGGTTAAGTCATTATATATAGTGGTAAAATCATTATATTCAATGAAAACTTTATTATATGCAGTGGTTTTATCTTTATATACAGTGATAAAATCATTATATACAGTGATAAAATCATTATATTCATTGATAACTTTATTGTATGCAGTGGTTTTATCATTATATTCAGTGGCAATGTCATTATATATAGTGGTTAAATAATGTAATGAAGTGATAGTACCGTTACATTATGCTGTAAAATCATTATATGCATTGGTTTTTCCATTATATACATTACTGATATCTTTCTGTGATGTGATAAATTCAATATATACAGTACAAACATAATTTGTGTGATAAAGCAATCATTACATTGTATGAAACCCGCTGCATGTGGAGTGCCAAGTTAATTTCATTCAGTGCGACACCTTTACATGAAGTGAAAAATACTAAGATCATTATATTATATAGTAAAATTATTATATATATTCCTAAAATCATACTTTGCAGTAGTAACATCTTTATATGAGGTGGTTAATTAATTATAGCGAGCGCAGCGAGCGGCGCGAAGCGCCGCTCGTCACTGCGAGCTCTAACGACAACGCCTGGGCGAAGAGAAAATTCGGACTACTGCACATTCATTCAATAGAATTTTTTTCCGCAGTAATTCTGACCCACAATGCATCGCTTCTTGTTCTCGCTGCTAACTTCGTTCACGCGGTGACAACAACTAAAAATTCACACAAAATAAGCTCACCTTAATTTAATGGATATTGCATGCAGATAGTAGATTAAACGTTCTTTGTTAAAATATTTGCACTTTTTAAACTTTGTTTATGGAAAGGCAGCTAACATACGACGTCATGGGACGTCACAGTCTAGACGTTCCAAATGTCTCGTGCGGTTTGAAGAGGCGGATCATAATAAATGAAGTGAACACTGCGCTCGCCCCAACGGTCGCACCGTCAACATATTATGATGTTGTTAATTTGTTATATGATGTGGTCAATTCTTTTTATGCATTAGTCGTTTCATGTTATGCAGTGGTAACTTCTTTATCATCATCTAAACTGGTCCTCTTGCAAAAACATTTTTAAAAATTGCGCGGAGTTCCAGTTTAAAGAATGTTTGAAAATAGGAAACCCGGGCCGTGGCAAATTAAAAGCCGGGACTATTCGAGATTTTTCAAATTTCTGACTTAAAATTTTCAGACTCTTTTTTTAGGCTAATGTGTTTTCGCTGTAAAAATTGTATTTAAATACTTGGTATTTTAGATTTTCTTTACGATTTTTGGTTTCAAGTAAAATTGGTAGGCAGTTTCAATTTTCTGATTTAATATTTTATCCATTGTGCTATAAGTACTTAGTATTTTAGATTTTTTTTGGCGATTGTTGATTTCCATGTTGGTAAAATGGGTAGACTGGGTTGGCGATATTTTATGTGTGTGTGTGTGTGGTTTTTTTTTTTTGGACATATTTGATAAAAATCTAATAAACTTAAAAATTATTCCGATGTTAAACACTGTATTTTAACTAAAAAAAACTTTTTCTTTTTGATAGTTATTTCTTTATTTGAAAATGCTATTTTTATGCAAAATACACATTTTCATTAAAAAAAGATTATTAAACCAGATCCGATCATCCGGGAAGAACCTGGTGCAAAACACCATAAATCATTTCTAATTTCATAATATGCAAATGTGCACTGGTACATGTATCTATATGTTAGTAGATTGAAGGAAACTGGATTACGTTAAATATGTAATTTGTTTAATACTTTTTTCGGGGGGGATGTTAAATTACTAATATCAACTATTTATAAGACTGTTTCTAAGACTTCAGAAAACCTTAAATCACATTGAAATGCTTAAAATAAAAATTGCTGCATGAAAACATTTCATTTTCAAGTTTCATCTTTGCCGTCGCCAACGTGGCACGGTGATTAGAGTGTCTGCTCTAAGAGACGCGGAATAAGGAGTCAATCCTTACGTCACGAGTTCGAATCCGACAGTGGGACGTTGAGACCGGTCCTTCGTAAGAGACCACATAAAGTCATAAACCGAGGTCCCGTTCCACAGTAGGTGTTGGCACGAAAAAAATCCCTCACTGCTCAATGGCCGTAAGTGTCGAGTATAGGACAAAATTTGCAGCTCTCCACTGGCAAATTGTTGCGTCTCCATATGAGTGAAAAATTCTCTAGAGGGACGTTAAACAGCAAACAAACAACCAAATTAAAATCATTTTAGCCTTTTTGAATAAAATGATAAAATCAAGAGTTATCCTTCAAGGCTGAGGATCGGATATCCTTAAACCAAGCAACTTACGCGTGATTAAAGTTTGACACAAGGCTTTGCATTAATAGTCCTATAATTACATGTATATGTGATAATTCTTTAATTAATTTATATTTTATTAAATGGCATGTAGATAATGAATAAGTATTTCGGATTTTTTATGTTTGACTTCTGGGAGATCAAATCCGATTTTAATGAACCATTGGCGTCGGAAGGAAATTGATAGTGGGGTGGCTAATTGAAATAGAAAAAAAAAATCAAACCTGAAAAAAACTTGACAAGCAAAAAAAAAAAAAAAGGAAAATTGTTCTTTCTCCAAACCCGAAAATCCTATTTCGGGGGTGTGGGTGGGTGGGTGGGGGGTTGGGGGGTTGGTCGAACATCTTTCAGTACCAAATTCTTTTAAACACTACCAATTACCCTTCTTTCACTACAATGAATCGTGCCTGTAGAAAGTGGGGAGGGGGGGGAGGCTAGACCTACGACCGAATTTTCAATGCCTATATTATGTCTACCTTTGTAAAAAAAAAAAAAAGGGGGGGGGACAATAGCCCCCCCCCCTCCCCCCGGTTCCGACGCCTATGTGAACCGGTTTTTCTTAAACGTGTCATTTCACTCAAAAAATGCCTTTCAAAGAATGAATAATTTTTAACATCAGAATAATTTAAAAGTTTATTAGCTTTCTGTCAAATATGGCAAAAAAAAAACAACAAACAAACAAACAAAAAACACAAACAAACAAAGAAACACGTAAAATGTCTACTTGATTGCCTACCCGATTTACCAACCTCACGGGCGGATTCAGAGAGGGCCTATGGGGCCCGCCCCCCCCCCCCCCGCCCCTTGTGTCCAAAATATACATAAGATTTAATAAATCAATTGTTTTTTGGTTTGGCTGTGGGCTACCAACCCCGACCAAAAACTTGTCGGGCCCCCCTTTTCAAGATTCCTGGATCCATCACTGAACTTGGAAATCAACAATCTAAATTACTAAGTATTTTAAAATTAAATGCAATTTTTACAGCGAATACACATTAACCTATAAAAATGAGTCTTAAAATTTCAGCACAGTTGATAAAATCAGGAAGCTGTATAATAGAATCAGAAATTAGAAAAATCTCGAATAGTCCCGGCTTTTAATTTGCCACGGCCCGGGTTTCCTATTTTCAAACACTCTTTAAACTGGAACTCCGCGCATTTTTTTTAAATAAAAGGACCAGTTTAGATGATGATAAAGAAGTTACCACTGCATAACATGAAACGTCTAATGCATATAAAGATTTGAGCACATCATGTAACAAATTAACA